ACATGGGAGGCTCCTCCATGGTCCTGCAGGAGCGTGTGTGCCAGGGGCTCAGTGGGCTGGGATGCAGGAGCAGGATCCATGCCATTCAGCTGGGATGCTCTTTGCAGACCCAGACAGTGAGATTCTCTGTGGATGGCAGCAGTGGAGCATCCCTGAGCTTGTCTGGTCCCCGTGGCCAGGGTTAAGTGGGGCACCAACCTCCCCTCACAGGGGTCCCAGGGGGACTTAGGAGCAGGCACAGCAACCTCCCAAACCCAGTGTTTCTTATCCTGGCCATGAACAAAGCTGTTTGCATGGTGGTTCTGAAATAGGAGTTCAGATTCGTGAGCATTTTTTGCTATTGAAAGGAGTTATTTTTAGCATTTCCCCTCCCTTGTCTCTTTAAACCATTTAAACCATACTTTTCTGGGGATTTTTAACCCTTTTGGAGAGTGGAAGACTGGGCTTAAAGCTTCCCCCTCCTGCAGGGACTGGGCTGTGAGCAGCAGGAGAGCAGAATCTGTTTGCTAGAGAAGTGTTGGGAGCACAGAGCACAGGCCAAGCCTGCAAACAGCTCCCTCCAGGCAGACCAGATGCACATTAGCCTGAGTGCCTTTCCCAGTGCTTAACACCCTTCACCAGGGACTAAGTTCAAAGCAAATCCATCCCCTGCTTCTCCATGCAGACAGCTCAAAGTCCCTCGGAAACTGATAGAGTTTGGCTCATCAGCGTATCAGGATCTGTTTTATTTTATCTGTCTGCACAAGCCTGCATGCAGGGATAGATCAGATTAACATGACTGATGAAAAACATCCTCCTCTTTATCCCCTCTGACAGCATCAACCCTTTATCAACAGTCTGAAGACAAAGTTTTCTCAGCCAGAAGTTTTCTGCCCTGAAGGTTCGTTGTTGTTTTTTTTTCCAACAGAAGTTTATTTTTGCTTCAAGAAAAATCAAAACATTTTGATGGAAGATTTTTCATCCATCCTTATGCATTAGATGTGGTGGCAGACAGGCTTGGCACATCAACATCTGCTCCTTCTCACTGGATTGAATTTAATATCTGGTATAGGAGCACTAACCCTCCCTCAGAGCTCAACAAGACAGTTGGAGAGAAGAAAACAACCTCTCTTCTGAGGGTTTCTAAACACTTTTCCACAGTGACCCTCTCATAATTTTATACCCCTTTATTTAGATAACTTCATAATGCCCTCCAGTGGGGTTTTGGGGAGGAAATGTTATAAATTTCAGACCAGTGAATCTGCCACTCACTGCTGCTAATACACTGCATTTATCCTCACTGCCACAGAGGCTGTGACAGCAAAAGCAGAGAAGAAAAGTAATTACTTCTTGCTCAGCTTCTCACTAAATCCTCTCATCAGCCCTCTCATGTCTTTCTTGGCTGCCTCAGTGATTTGCCATGCTCTGCAGTGCCTAGCTGGGTTCAGTGCTGCTGCTGTGATGGAGTGTGAGGATGGGGAAGCAGTTGGGTACCACAGGTACTGGGAGCCCCTCAGTGCCCAGCACAGCCTGGGCTGTCCAGATTGTGTGCACCAAGTCCCAGGCAATTGATGTGTGAATGCATTAGGAACTCCTAATCAAGAGGTGGGGTTATTTCAGCCAGGAAGTCTTAACCCAAAAGCACCCCCAGTGAGGAGTGAGGGGGAAGAGAAGGGGTTTTCTCCAGAGGTGTTTTTAAACATTTGTCAGAAGTTATAGATGTTGAAGAGTCCAATCTCCCAGAGAGGACTCAAACTACACATTTCCATTCAGCAGTGTGGGTCAGACACATGTTGAACTAAAAGCAAAGATATTGAGTCTTAAAATTAACCCAATTTGCTGGTTGGTGCTGAGGTTCCCCAGAGCAACAGCATCTTTGTGAGACCTGAAATTAAATGGGGTATCAAAAGCCCTTACCTGCTGCCTGTATTAAATTGAAGACAAATATTTTGACCAGCACCTAATGGGCCATCTTTCTGGTTTTCTTCAAGGCCTGCAAGATCAAATGAAAGACAAACAGCAAGGGCCATTTTCTTCAGAGGAGGTGGTGGATGTGGGGGAGCACTGGTGATGCAAAGTGTCCCACTGAACTGTCCTGGCACTGCCACTGCTGGGGTGTCATGCACTGAAACCAATGTGCCATGTGATAAATTTGATGCTCTTCATGCTGAAGTTGATGCATCACCTTTAGAATCAAATGTATCATCTCTTCTGTCACACTCCATATACTGGATCAGAGTCACCACCTACTGAATTAAAAACTGCACGTGCAGTTCACATCACACCATAAATCAGCCCAAAATGGAATTAAGTGCATTGTATGCTAAGAACTCATCCATCATGCCATAAATTAAACACAGAACAAGCCTCTTAGGCTGGATGTGCCCAGATATAGACTGCAGAGTCCACTAGAGAAAACATGACACCACTGAAGTCACTGAGAGTTTGGTCATTAATTTCAGTTAACTTTTTTATCTACTGATCTGTACCAGATCTGTCTCTGTCCTGCACCAAACTGAACCTCAGGTACTCAGAAACTTTTCCTGTCAGTGGCTCTCCTATTGAGCCATGCACATGCCTCACTTCGAGGTTTAGGCAGGAGTGTGGAGATGCCCCTGCATGGGGAAAAGGCAGCAAGGGCTGAGAGGGCTGTGCAGCCCTTGCTGGCAGCCAACACACACTGTGGGACACACAGAGCATCTATTGTCTTCAAAGGACATCTGTTCCAATGAATGGCCAGGCTCAAAGTCCTTGTTGATGGAGAGGAGCATCCTTCCCCTAAGCTCTCAGCAGAACTGCATTGGGCTGGGCCTGGCTACTGGGGCTGATGGATTCCTGACACACCCTTTGCAGTCTTTGGACTTCAAAGCAAGAGGAGGGGAAAAAAAATACAAAAACAGTCTCAGGAATACATATTGTGTCAGAGCATCCCAGGCAGTTCAGCCCTCAGTAGGTGTTGTTAGTCCTGTGTGACAAATGGGAACAGGAGCACAGAGTGGATGGGTACCAGCTGCTCAAGGCCGAAGCTGGAGACTGGGGCAAAGATAAGGCTTCAGAAATTCTTATCTAAAACCAGGATACTATTTTCCCCTTTTTGTTATCTGTGTTAATTTTTGCTTTTCTGACAGCACTCTCACAGCACAGGAGCCCCCCTGCCCCGTGCCCTCAGGGAAAGGTGATACCCTCAGGGAAAGGTAGAACAAACTTCCAGCTGAAGCACAATGCAGTCAGAGACATCCTTGGATACAATCTTTCCTCTTATTTTTGTATTCATCTGGTCCTCTCAAAATCTGCTCAGGAGCAATTAAAGCCTGTCAGCTAGAAGCTGATGCAACTTCTATTTAATTAGCCCAGCAGCCAATAAAGATCTCATTCATCAAAATCTCATGGAAGGTATGCCTGTTGGGGGGGGGGGGGGAGGGGGGGGAAGATTTGTCACTTCTTCCTTAGACCCAGATGGAAGTGGAGCATTGATCAGTGATCCGATCACACACGGACTCCTGTGCAATCTGAGCAGACCGAGCAGCTGGCACACATCTGTCCAGAAAGCAGCAATGGCTGAAAACTGTGCAGGACTGTCCCAGGTGCTGTGGTGGCAAATCCTTCTGGAAGCTCAGTCTTCAGATCATGACTAACCTGGGCAGCAAGTGGCACTGGTGGGATGAGCAGCTTTGAAGGGGTTTTTTTTCTTATTACCCATTTGGCTGCCCTATCCAGCAGCAGGAAATGGCAGAGGTGTGTAAGGAAGGCTGAGCACCAGCAGGATGAATTGGCAGAGGGCTGAAAAAACATGGAGTCTCCCCAGAACTGTTGCCTTTGCCCTGGGAGGGGTTTAAGAGTCCCTCTCACTGTGCTGCCACTCGGAACCTAAACACATTAGGGATGGCAAAGCAGAAGAGAAATCAGTACCCACAGTGACGGATCCCAACAAAGTTTTGGGGTGCTCATCATGTAAGAGAAAGTCTTTAGGGTGACATCCTTTTGGCCTGAAAGCTTTTCCTTAAATTGGCTGTCAGGGTATCAAACCTGACCTTTTTCTCCAGGGTTGAGATTTTCCCAGAGACTGTGCAAGGTGGCCAGGACGATGGGGGGAGCATAAATCTGTACCTGCAAGGTCAGTGTGCTGGCTTTGTGTCATGAACAGGGGGTTTTACCAGCTCAGACCTGCAGGAGCAGATACTTGTAGGAATCACTTGCCAACACTGTTTGCAGCCTCACCATCACGATTCACTGAACTGAAAAGCAGTAAATCAGCTATCACAGGATACTTCATACTTTACAAACATGAGTGATGGTATCTTTATAATTAATGATTATGAGAAAGCAGCTTAATAGTTTGGTTCCTTGTGAGTGGCTTGATTTGTAATACATGGCAATTGGCATAAGCAAAGCAGGTAATTGGAGCCAGTTTACCCTTGGTATGTCCAGCTGGTAGTTCGGCTTCCCAGACTTTCCTCAGAGCCTTAACCCCTGGGCAGAAAAAGGCTGCAGATGTAACCCCAGTGCCAGGCATACTTCCAAACTGGGAGATGCTTGGGCGTGGAATGATGGGCAGTTTCTTGCTGCTGCCCCACACATTTTACAAGTTGCTGTTGTCAGTGAATCTTCCCTGGCATTTGCAAGGAAAATGCCTGTGCTCAGCTCAGGGCCTTGAGCCACCCATCTCCTCAGGAGTTATTAACAGGAACATCATAGCTGGCACATTACTGTGATTGATGCTGTATCAATCAACTGGAAGAGTGTTAAGCAAGACTTAAAAAGAAGTGAGATGAAGGCTTAAATACTAGGCTAAGATGTCCATATTATGGGATAATTCCAGGGTTGAAAACACATGTGCAGAGATGCTGACATCCTCATCTATGTCCCTGTCTCCGACCCTGCTGCTCCATGCTGGCCAAACTGGTTCCATGGGAAGTCAGTAATGAGTGCTTGTATTGCAAATGACTGTATGTATTGTAAGTTTGTGGTTTTATTGCTTATCAAATAAAATATAATAAGAAATACTCTCCATTAACACATTATTTCTAGCCAAGCATGTTTTTATTCAATTTCATCAAGTCTGATTTGATTTGGTTTATCTTTGTTTAAGATTGATGTGATAAACTACACTCAAACCTGCCAAGTCATTTTTGCTAGTGTGGCATTTGGTATTTCAGAACTCAGGTGGGAGACCTCCTCTTTTAATGAGAGTCTCAGATTTTCCTGTGTTAAAACAAAAAAAAATTGTGGCCAGGTCAGTTGTGGAGAAATTTATGTGTGGCATTTAGTTTGCCATACCCAAAAGGCAAAAAACCCATACGCCTTCCACAAGAACAAAAACAACAACAAAACAACAAACAAACAAACAACAACAAAAATGAAGCAAAAAACCCAAGCAAAACACCAAACAAAACCAAACAATCCCTCAAATGTGTTATCTTTTAATCATCTGTGATTTTCAAACACTATGCCCTTGGGGAACCCAACTCACAGATTTTCTGCCAACAATGAGTGATTTTTCTTGAGAACAAATTCACTTCTCATCTCCAAAGCCAGGCCCACACACCAGTGAATTCCTGTATTGTGCATGCAAAGCCCAAGATCAGAAAGCACAGGGCAGGGATGGCCCAGTGCCCAGGACGTGCTCTGAAGGGGGTGCTTCACACACTCTTTCAGTCTCTATTCCTCCGCTGTGCTTCCTCCCAGAAGATGCCCCTGATTCCTCTAGGGATGCTTTCCCAGGGGGTGTAGTACCTTCCTTGCTTCACCTGCAGCCATCCACAGCAGCAGCAACCTTCCCAGGCAGATGTTGGCCATCCCCCCCTTTCTGTGCCCTTCACCCCATGCTCAGACCTGGAGCAGGTGGAGAAGCAGCTGCTGCAAAGCAGGGATGTGCTTTATCACTCCCAGGACCTGGGCTCAAAGTTTCCATGTGCTGCCTCCAGTGCTGTACAGAGAAGCAAATCCAACTTGTCCTTCTGGATCTCTCTTTTCCATGGAGGGTCAGGGTGGTCTCTTTGCTCCTCTGCTTGTGTTCAGAAAGCATTCTAAAACATTTACAGCCTGACTAGACCCAGCAAGCTCAGGGCTGGCAGAGAAAAAATACTCCTTTTGCCAGCCCTTCATGTTAAGTATCTATATTTAAAATGACTACATAAACTAAAAAATTATTAACAGGTCTAAGCATTTTACCAGGCAAATCCAATTTCTTCTTCAGAGAACTGGATGGAATAAAGCTAAAAAATTTGCTTTTAGGATGAGATTTAATTCAAAGTGTCAGTGTTAGTTCTTCTACTGTACTTGTAGGTTTAGAGAATAAACCTATTTGCTAGCAAACAATCATCTTAAACAAGATCATCATTAATCCTGAATTCAGCTGTCAAGAGGACTGAGACTGCAAACTAAGAGGGAACAAGGAAAACCTGGTAATTTGTTTGTTAAATATTTGTAAACTGTCATGTCAATAATGGATAATAAGAAAATTTTGAGCCTTCAGAGCTGATGTATAACACAAAGCTTTGCTGTATTGCACCTAAACTACTATCAATAGCACATTTATTATAATAATAGATGAAAAACAAGCTTCCTGAAAAACAAGATCAATTTGAGCTCAAGTTATTTGGACATGTTCTAAACGTTGTAATTAAAATGCAGCATGAATGTTCCTTTTAAAAAAAAAATAAAAGAGAAAAATAGCCTTGCTACAATTATATATGCTATCCAGCCCTGACTCAATAGCCTGACCCCGAGGGAAAAAAAAAAAAAAACAACACGCAAAATTGTATTTGTGTCCAGTCAGACATTCCTCATCTCCAGGGCTTGCTGCAGAGCCTAAGCTAAAATGACTTTTCCTGTTGGGTCAAGACCCAGCCCTGCCTTGAAGATTTGGTGCAGGGAGTCAGCTCTGGTTGCACCAAGCTCCCTGTGCTGGTCAGGATGTGATCACAGTCCAGCAAAGAAACCCAGCTGAGCTCTATCTTGCTGCAAAAGCAACTGCAGTTTATGGTGGGGAAAAAAAAAAAAAAAGAAAGAAAAAAACAAAAAAAACCAACCAACAACCCAAGGAACCGTAAAAAGAGATAAAAGAAGCCAGCTGTGTGGAAGGTTTCAGTCCTGGACCAAGTGCCTTGGGGACAGAAGTGGCTGGAGTGGCTTTCTCCGGCACCCTCCCGCAGTGTTCCAGCACACATCAAAGCGGGAGCTGCGCCTCCCGCAGCAATTAGAGACCTATGGACACTTCCCAGGAGCTGCCTGTCACCCTGGAGAATTGGACTCTTCTTTTGTTCTGATAAAGAAGTGACTAGTGAGCTACAGCAATCTCCTGGTAGCTCTCTAAATAATTGTGTTCTCTCGTGTCTTTTAATCATAAGTCCCACGAGGCCCATAATACCACATGTGCACTCCAAATGGGCCCATCAGCTCAGTTTATCAAAGGGACTTAATTTAATCCTAGTCTTTGATGGAGACAGGAGCGGTCAAAGTCCGCCCTAATGATTTTCTAAGTTTACTTATCTTGCAGATTTGGGGCATGAAGGGCACTTGGACTCCAAGTACAGCATTGATAATGGGAAGCCATGAGGAGGAAGACAAAAATGGCAAGAGCTTGACAGTCTGAATCAAGAGAAATCACAGCAGCAACCTGTAAAAACAGTGGAGACTGAAAAGGCAAAATAAATTCCATGATTGGTGTCACCACAAGCAACGACATGAGACTGGTAAAATAAATTGCTGGAGGCAATATTTACCTCTGAGTGAGTATCACAGCTGTGAGAGACCCACCAAGGAGAGGCCAAGAGCAGAGAAATCCAAGCTAGGAAACACAGAGCCAGAGGCAAGCAGGCACAAAGTGCTGTGGATGGTGGAGCTGCTTTGACCTGGGAGCATCCCCTCCCAGACAGAGCAGGATGCAGTTAAGCATGAAAAATACACCTTTGCATGAAAAAGTGCCTGCTCTTCCCTAAGCTTTAAAGAAGCCCAAACCTTTCAGAGTTGAGCATCTTTTAAAACCACTGGGATGACTTCTCTGCTCATTTTCAACCCAACAGGTCAGTGGACCCCAGGAGGTATGATACAGTGACACCAGCTAAAAAATGCTGAGCAAACTGAAGTAAAAACCCAAAGAAAGGAACCAAAATCCCAGGCTTCAAGGGATGCTGAACAATGAACATTAGGACCAAAAGCATCACAGATAAGGGTTTAATGGAAAAGCTAAAAGCTCAGCCTTCTCCTCAGAGAGTTGACAGGACAAGACTGGAGCACTGTTTCACTCCCAAGCTGCAAGTGATGGATGTGAACACAGTAGGAAAAAAAAATAATTAAAAAAAAAAAACTTTGCTAGAAAAATCCCAGCTGGTTCTGAAGCTCTCAATGGCCTTTAATAGTTTTCAGCTCAAATGGAAGAGGGAACTCAGAGCCTGCATTACAGAAGCAAGGAGTGCTGTGGGCTGTGAGAAATGGAGCACAAGCCCTTTGGTTACAAGCAGCACATACAAAAAGATGGTGCAGGGAAGGAACAAAGAAATCCTCCAGTAGGGATGTAAAGGACTGTGTTGGCACCATTAGTGCAGAGGGATCCTTCATGGCATTATCAAAGTTTTGGTGGAAGGTGGATAAAACATCTACCTGCAAACAGCCAAGGCCATTTATTTATTTTATACAGAGAGTGCAGGTGGTTCAGGACAACCTTTGGGGAGAAAATTTAAAGAAAAGCAGTGATATTAGCTCCAAAAATAAATCCACAACCAGCAGACAGCAAAGGGTAAAGTGCAAACATTACCCAAGCTGGCTAATCCACACAAAAGGACTGACTGGTTAAAAACAGTGTCAAATCCTTGGTCTCATGAGGGAGAGGTGGAGGACCTGAATCTGAGGAGAGCTTCCAGGAAGGTGCTTGTGGGTGGGCAGAGTGGGAAAGCCCAAACCTCCCCTTGCTCCAAGTGGTGAGATGGGGACTGCACAGCTCCTTGGCCATCCCTGAAATAAAAGGGCACTGATGACACTGGCTGTGGTGAGAAAGGAGCAGTGCAAATTAAATACACTCTATGGAAAGAGGGAACTGTCTTCTCTTTGCTCTGCAGATTTTGGGCTGTATAAAGTGTCAGGAAGCAAAGCTGGCACTGGCAGCCCATGACTGGCACACAGATGGGCTGGCCAGTGCTGGACCTGGGAGTTGCAGCCCCCAGAGAGGCATCGGAGCATCCATTGAGCTCAGGGCACAGCAGGAGCTGGACTGCATGGGGGGAGCCACTGTGACTGACAGCAGTTTGTCTTTTTGAAAGACAGCAGCTCCTGGTGCCTGGTGGATTCCTGCTGGCCTGTTACACCTCTAACTTGGGCAGGGAAAATCCATATTGGTACAGCACCTTTGAGAGGTTTCTTTCCTTGGTGAGGACAGCATGAAGGCTGCTTGGAAAGTGTTTTGATGCACAGGTTAAAAAGAGAAAGAGCCTAAACAAAGGCTCCCAGCAGCTCCAAGCAGACTTGGGTAGAGCTCCAAGTAAATTAACTTCCATTTGAAGAAACTTCATTTGTGAGTGGTACACAGACACAGCAAGATCTGGGAGATGCCAGTTATTACCCAACACCTGGTCACTGGGGGATGGACAAGTAAACCAAAAAGGAGCAGAAAGTGTCCTGCCAGGATACAGATTCAGAAGCTGAAGCCTGGCAGCACATGGTAATACACAGTGATAGGACAGGGCTCTCAGCAGAACACTGACACTGACTTTTAAAAGGCCAAGCCTGGAATGGCCACAGAGCCAGCCCCACTGACACCATCTGGCACTGGTAACAGAGGAGCTGCCCCCTTCCACAAGCTGCTGTTTCCATGCTGATGGCAGGTCTGTGATGGCAAAGGCAGCCCACTGACCACACACCACTGCTGAGATGGACACAGCCTGTGTGGCTTTATCTAACTTCTGCGCAAGAGACTCAAACTGGCTGGCAGAGCAGGGACATAAATAATATGTAAGCATCTGGGACCACAGGCAGCACCAATGGATTCTCTAGGGCTGGTGACAGCAGTGTGTCAGTCCAGAAGTCCCTGTGGCTTGACTTGGCACAACACAAGGGCTGACTACAGGCAGCTAACCAGGCACAGGATAGATGGGAGGGAGATTCTGGACAACCCCTGTGCTCTGAACTGATTTGCCTACAGATGTGTCGGGGCATATGAAGCTGTGACAAAAGGCCAGAGGCAAAGCAGCCAGGACAGATGCCACCCAGATATTTGGCTCAGCACGGTCTCTGCCCAGACACTGTTCTCCTGTGGGTCAGCAGCTTTTCTGGGTGCAGGAAAGCGGGCAGCATTGTCCAGGACAGCTCCTAAACAAACACGCTGTTGCTGCTGGCAAAGAGGCTGCATGAGTGGAGGAATTAGCATGGTCCTGAGGGCTGGCAAAGTCATCAGAGAGAAGTGACTTGTGGGGAAGGAAGATCAGCATGTGGGACTGAGGGGGCTGACTGCTTAGCAAAGGGAGTCATTTGGAGCTAACTTGGGAGTCTGCAACAAGAGGAGAACCAGGCTGCAGCTTGGAAAGGGTACATGGCAAGTCAGATCAACTTCTTTTCCTTACACACATGGGTAGATCCAACAGGACAGGCAAAGCAGACTGTATGATGTATGCAATGACAAAAAATAATCTAAAGAGGGATGTTTGCTTGATTTGTGTATCTTCATCTTGGTTGTCAGTTGTCACGTTGGTGGATTCCAGATACAGCTCCTCATTGCTCTGACTGAATTGCTAAATTCAGGTTTACATTTTTACTCTCTGTAAGCATATTACAATTTTAATTAAGCACTAAGTAATGTTTTAGCAGGTTTTTGAGACTTTAGCTGTTTATCTTGTTGATTACCGTTCTCTCAGGTCCTTAGTTGTGGCCTAAATTTAGAGCAATTCTGACTGACTGAGCCCAGCAGTTTAACTGCCACAACTCTTCATTAAAAATGAAGAGATCAGAGTTGATCAGCAGACTGTGGGAGCCTGCTGTGTGGCTGCTCTGCATCCTGACAGTCTTCTGATCTACAGGTGCTGGAGCCAGGTTAATGCTGATCTGCTGGCAAAACACGGCATGAAAGACTTTGAAAAGATGCAGCAGCTCCTTGATACAAAGCTCAGTAAGAAACTTGCTTCCTTCCTTGTCCATCTGAGATGGTGAGGAAGGAGAGACCTTAAGCAAAGCAATTATTTTCTTTCATGCAATTTCCATCAGGCAACATGAGCCCTTCTCAAGGCAAAATGTTTGTGTCTCCCATTTTTGTCTCTCTGGGGAGCACTTTGCAGGAAATTAATGAGGGTCCCTGTTTTACAAAGCACATGGGAAGCTCCCTCAAGGAAGCAATACCCCAGTTCATGTTTAGCCAGCTTCATGTGGAACTTTGGGGCTTTTTTTCTAAATTGCTGGAGAATTCTAAAGGCCCCATATCTACTTGTACATGAGAGGTTTATCACACACATGAGCATGAAAGACTAGCTATCAACAGCTAGTGAGTCCAGCTATCAACATGCAAAACCTGGCCAGATCTGTCAACATCTAGGACCAGATGTATCTCTTAAATGCTGTTTTACAATTGTATCACACTAACAAATGTAGTGATAATGAAATGCAGAGTCTGGTACCATCCAAAATTCAGCAGCTGTGGTATTTGCCATGGCGTTGATCTCCCAAGTTTAAGTAGTTTGTGCTAGAAAGTGATTCTTGTAGCTCAGAAAAGAAATTCAGTGCAGAGAAAAATGGAGATTATCCTTCTGTGTACAACCCTGGCTAAAACTTGTTAACCACCCCTAACTGTAGCTCTCGTCCAGTGCTAATTACATCTGTAATAACATTCAGTTGTTTGTCCTGTCCCAACAGTTAAGCCAAGGTGGTGGCTCCCATGGATGGTGGGGATATTGCCAGGGAAAGTCACCTCCCCCTCTGGACAGTGCAGACCCACCATTGCTGGTCTTCATGCTGGTTTTTGCAGTACTCTGGAATGCCAAACCCATTTTCAATCCATGGGTGATCATCTCCCCCAGTGACCCTTCACCACCAGCTAGGAAAGTGATCGTCTTAAACACCTTAATTCATCCACTGTTTAATCATGTGACCTTTCCTCTTCTCTCATCTCATATTCTCTGCAATTAATTGAATGTAAATTCAGATTTTCATTGAGGAATTGGGAAGACCTTGACCAAACAGCCCTTTGTTTCCTCCCTGCCCATCAGTCTGCAGTTTCCTTGCCTCAGGGCAGAGCCAAATAAAGTGAAAACCTTTTCTTCAACTCGCTTACATTTCACTTTCACAATAAACCTCACACCTAGGTCACTGCCCAGTAAATCACAACTTCCACCAGGGCCAGCCCTGCCTCAGTCTACTTTGCTAGGCCCATTTGGGTATCCAGAGAGGAACCAGCTCCTGACCTGGCCAGGCTCCTGCTTCCCAGTCAGTGGTGACAGCACACACCAGCTGCATCCAAGCCAGGCCCATGAAGCCCTCCCAGGGCTCATCTTCTGGAATTCTGGATTGCAGTGAAAAGAAGATGAAGAAAAGAGAAATGCAAGCCCCTTGAGCTGCAGAGAGAACTTGCTACCTAAAGGCATTCGACTGCCTCAGAAAGAGGTAAATGTGAGGAACTGACAGCAATGTTGTTTTGCTCAGTTTGAAATTTCATTTTTATGCATATCTCATGGAAAATTGGAAATAACACTGGTCACACTTACAACCTGCTAAGGGGGAAAAGGGCAATAGCAAGTGCAAATGAAGGGAAATTTTCTGACAAAAATATCTTCCTCAGAAAGCACCTTTCAGAGAAACAGATAAACACACATACTTACAGAGCAAAGCCAAACCCCTGCAATCTCCATGGAGGTTTGTGCAGCAACACATCTGCAGCTCCCCACCACCTCTTCCCTGTCCCTCAGCTAGAGAGAATAATTCCTGTAGGTAAGCTGGAGTGAACTTTCCCTAATCTGTGCCAGGGAAAGTTTCACCAACAGCTGAGAGTCTTCAGTGACAGGCGAAGCTGGACAGGCAGCAGGTTGCTATTCCTCTGTAGAGGTTCATTCAGCTTTACATATACTATGACTACTTTGGATCCCACCCTGTGATCCTAAAGCAAAGAATTGTGAGGAATAAAAAATATTTTTCTAAAATTGGGCATGAAGAGCTGAGCATGGCCCCATCTCTGAGGTGACCATATGGAAGAAAAACCCAGAGACTCCATTACTCAATGGAATCAAGTCTCAACCCTTTGATCCAGTCTTGAGTCCATTTGAAAGTGATGCAAGGCCTCCAAGGATGTAGTTGTGGCTCTAAAACTGGAGAAGTGCTATGCTGAATGTGCTGTTTTTCTACCTTCTCCAGCTACAGAAGGGGCAGCTCATTGTTACAGCCCCCAGCCTGCTCCTGGCTGTTTGTGAGCATGCCAGTGGAAATCCCTCCAAACTGCTGGTGCATTCCAAATAAATGGGTCCAATTTAGCAAAGCTACAACAGCAGCTGAAGCAGTAGGGAAGGATCATACCAGCAACCAAGCAGGCAGATCAGAAAAGGAAAAAGCTTCCAATAGGTGATGATGAGCAGGTGGGAAGAAGTAACTGGTTCATCTCTGAGAGAAATGTGAACAGAGCCCTATAGTCCCCCAAGAAATTCCTGGGAGGGGCTGCAGGAGCAGCCCCTAGCCTTGTGTTAGCACTTTATTTATAGCATTGCCTTCTTGTTTATAATCTTCCCAACTGTGAATTGCAATTTTTCCTCCCCCCAGCATTATGGTGACGGTTTGGAACATGGAGATGTTTGGAAAAGGGCAATTTGGCATCAAGAGTCTAAAAAGCACATACAGATGACATCCTAAATGTATCTTTTATGAGCTTGGAATGATCCCTTTAAATTAAGCTCAGAGTCTGTGACAGCTTCTGGTAGTGTAGCCAATAAGGAAGAAAAAAAAAAAAAACCAGGAGGTTCTCACACATATGTAATCTTAGAGATCTGGATACCTTGCTTTGCCTCATGCAACTCTGAACTGCTTACCAATGCTTCCCAAGGAAAGTACTTCAATGATTTTCATTTGTCTCTACACCACATATGCCCTCAAACACCAACATAATTTTAAATTCAAGGCTTATAAAAAATTAAATGCTCCAATAATTCTAAATTGTGTTTGTTCAGTGTTACTGGAGCCTGGCCATTCCTTCAGTTTGGGAATTTTTGTTTTGTTTGCAGTGGGTGGAGGAAGAAATGCTTTCTATTAGTGCTTCAAACTGGAAGTTGGTCAAACAGCATCACAGCAGAGTGATTCAGCAGCCTCTGAGCTGATTCACAGTGTGTCATAAAATGGGATTAGGAAAACAACAATGCTTGGAGAAGAAAGAACCCACACAAAGAATCACAGCAGGAGAACAATACCAGAAAGAACAGGGGAATAATCCTCATTTGGCTTCTGTAAAGCAGGCTGGATGACCTAATTGGTGGCTTTCAATGCCCTTCATTCTGCATGGAGTTGTAGGGTTCAGCTGCCCGGATCCAGCCACCACAGCTTAATAAATGTCTCTGCATGGACTGAACCACCCCTAGTGTTCCTGCGTGCACATCTGCAGCCTCTTCTCATTTATCTGATGAGACCATGGTCCCCCTCTGGCACAACCCCTGATGCTACTTCACAGCAGGCAGGAGCTTATGCAGAACTAGTGGTGAAAGTCCATGCCCACTTAGGACAGGAAGCAGAGGGAATAATCTTAGGCTGTGAGTTAAATCCAAAAAGCTGTGTTTTGTTAGTGTTACTCAAGAAGATATACACACACTGGCAGCACATCAAAGCACCTGAGGTGTCAAACTAAGTGTATTTCCTAGCACTGTCCTGAACAGGAATAAAACATGTATTTTGTGATCTCCTGAATCCAAGTATCAGCAACCACCTATGGCCAATGCCAAGATGGAAGAGAAAAGCATATTTAAAATCTATTCTGAACCTGAAGATCCTACTGAACCTTGTTTTAAATTAGGCCAAACCTGTTATAACTGTGGCCTTGAAGTGACAGAGGAAGGCAGGGCTCTCTCAGGAGTTTTACTAGATCAGCAGTGGTTGAGTTACTCCTATGCAGAACACGAAATCACAGCTTCACGCAATTGAGGAAAATCAGACAATTATATCACAATTCCAATAAAATTGCTATATCCAAAGTCTGGTAGAGACAGAAAAACAAGGAGGAAAAAGAAAAATCTCATATGCCATGGTCTCCTATTGTAGACTAAAAAAATTATAAAGTGCATCCTCGTAAATAACTCACTGCAGGATGCCTGGAATTTTATAGAAACTACTGCAACTTGTCTCCCAGTGGGGAATAACTGAGGCATGAGATAAGAAATCAGCCCTATCCTAACTTGCAGTGACAGGTGCTGTAAAAGGAAATGCCCAATAAAGCCTTAATGTATAGGAATGGCAAATAACTGTCTGGAATTCTGAAATAAGAAAGCATAAACCAATTCTCTAATCATGTCTAATCAAAGAACACCATCAGTTGCTTAAAACTTCTAGGGAAAAAATGGGAGAGGTGGTAGCATGCTTGTCTTCGTCAGCAGTGTTTTGGGAATATTTTAGCCTGCAGAATTTAATTCCCTGTTATTACTTCTGAGTCTGAAGGTGAAAATCATAAATCACAACCATTCATAACATGCAATAATGGGATGAAATACTCATAAAGAGAGTTACATGATGAAATCCTCTGGGATTGCGTGTAACCCTTACAGTCCTTGATGACAGCATTAAAAATCCTTCTGTCGCTAACATCTATTCTTCCCTAATTCCTATAGTAGTTGTTCCTCTTTCTTCTCTCGTAACATTTCCAGATTTTTGTGTCATATGGCATTCCTTCCACCCTTCCTCCCTGCTGCCCTAAATATATGTCTAAAACAAAATCACAGGAAAGCATTCCATGCTTAAAAAGATGGGCACGTTTTAAATTACACTGTAATTACTAATAAGGGCTTTTAATACCCGAGGAGCTTTCCCAGGGAGTTTTGCTCTGATTTCAGGACCCCCACTGTTTTTATAGATGGCCATTTGGTCCCATTTATAAGGTGGTTACATTTTGAGTAACAAAGACTCCAATGCTCTACAATAAAATAACACTGTCCCTACCCTTCTTTCACCTTACCATAACTGAGTTTAAAAAAGAAAAAAAATCCCAACCCATGATGTGTTAGAGCTTTGTTTTCTGAGTAACAAGACCAATCATGTTTCCTCTGCTTGAGGTCTCTCTCTTCTCTTCCTTTTCTTCTAGGTCCTCTGGATCCACACTGACATAGAAATATCCCATGATGGAGAAAATAATGCACACAGCAAAGAGGAGAACAGTGAACAAGACAAATTCAGCCCACTAGGAAAGAAAAAAGAACAGCAGGTCAGGAGACCCCAGACTCTCAGTCTGGAGGATATCTCTGCACTTTCAAGTGCTTTTTAAAGAGCTGGGTGAAAATTATTTCTTAGTTTTCAAAATGGCTCACAAGATAGAAACTTTCTCATCCTGTTTTTCTGGTAAATGCTTGTATACATAATGTAATTGCAAATATGTGATACCTCTTGAAACAAAACAGTTAGATTGAGTTGGTTTCATTAAATCTTTTCTTACAAATCTGACTGGAACATATCCACCTGGCCTTTTTGCCTACAAGATTCTTTTGGGAGAGGTAGATTCATGCTGGCCAGAAATAAGCCCCAGTCCACACCTTCATGGCATCATCCCAGAAGTTTCATTGCCTGAATTAAACTACCTCTGCACCACGAGCTCCCCCTGTAAGCCTGACATCTCAGGGATGCCAGAGGCAGCCCGGCAGGATTCCCCAAGCAAGACCCTTGAGGATGAACTGAGTGCCCACTGGTCTCATTTCTGGTGAGCACTCAACGTGTGGCTGCCACTGTGTTCAGGCTGAGCTAGCTTGCTAGAGCTGAGCTCCAGCAGAGTTACCAGCACAGGTCAGGTACTTCCAGCCCCTGGGAGGGCCAGGGAGGACCAGTGCTCCCCAGAGGAGCACCACTGAGGGCCCCACAGAGCAGGGGCTGGGGGACAGCTCGGAGTGAGCTGCTGTCAGCTCAGGTGCAGGAGCCTGGGGCTGGCAGAGAGACTGTGCACCAGGACATGGCCATCCAGAAGCACCAGAAGCCTCTTGTAAAGCATGACCTCTGTTTTAAGAGCCAAACCATACCTGTGCCATTGGTGCAGCCTCAGCAACAATGAGCACAAAGGTATTCCCCACAGCCACGGTGAGCAGCCAGCCTGCCTGCAGCACCGACTTCATGCTGGCTGGAGACTGAAAAGAGGAGAAGGGCCTGATCAGTGGGAATCACGCTGTGCCTTGGGGCCCTGCTTCACCCTCTGGAGTCCTGCCCAGTGTAGGTGTCACTGGGCTCAGCCTAGGAGGAGATGGTGGAATTTCCTCTGTGTGGAGTGGTTAATCTGTGGTTAATCTCAACATCTGCATACAAGGAGCTTTCAGAACATGGACAGGAGGACACATGAAGAAGGAGGAGATGCTGTTGTTGCAGAGCTGAGTCCGGGTCATCCCCAACCTGCATCATCTGAAACGGTACGATCAGGATGTCCAAGGAGCCACACAGCCCTGCAGCTTGGAGTCTGTGCCATGTAGCTGTATACACCTTTGGAAAAGAGACTGGATCTTGATGTTAAATTTCCTGCTGAGGACAAATTTTTCACATCCCATTACAGATCATCCCACTGCATTAATCATCCTCATTAATAAACATCTGCACCTTACTCCAGGGATAGATTTGAGCAGCTTCAGTAGCTGTTTGACCATGTAATGTCTCAGTCATTTCTTCTCATCAGCCTCCCCAGACAACAATCAAATCATCCCTTGCAGGTTCATTACCCCTTGCTCCTTTGTTACAACCTTGCATGTTTAGACCCCTTCAGTCTCTCAGTTTAAAGCAGGTGCTAAGCCCTCATGCCACCTTATAGTCCTTGAGATACCTTGCCTTTTTATCACTGAAAAATACATAGCACAAAATACTTCACTAGGGGAAAACCGTGATATAAAAATAGTCAGAGTTTTCCTGTTAACTATCCAGTTCTGTTCTGTGTTCTCAGGTTTACCAGAAAAGGTTATTTCCAAGTATTACTGAGAACAGGTACCTTCACAATATGAATTAATTTAGCTTGAGGGCACCCAGCAAGCTGTGCTACAATCCCACTTTCAGCTGAATGATAGATAACATTGTTAGTGTCACATCAAAGGAAGTATGACAAGTCAATGACAGATGCAGAAATAAATCTTGAAGTCTAATTGTAAGGCCCTTATCTTTAAGTGGAGTACCTGAGAATAGGAGAAGGCCAGACCCGTAATGGAGAACATCACCTCCCCAGCAGATATCAATAAATATTGTGGTAACTGCCAGGCCATATGGACATTGTTGGCTTTGATGTCTTCTGACTTCCATATCTCAACAGCACCTCCAGAAATCTAGCAGGAAAATAAAGGCACACTGATTAGTTGCTGAAAGATCAGATCTTTCTTAGTCTGGACAACAGCAGCAAATTTAACAAAAAACATAGTTTTAAGAGGAGGTTGAAAAAAAGCTCTGCCTTTGAAGCAAACTATGGTTCTCAACCCTGCCATTTCCAAGCCTGTTGGGAATAGGGTGACTCCAGCTGGACAGGGCAGAGAGAGCAGGATGGAAACATTCCAACTCATTTAGCTACCACAAGAATTCCCTGAATTATTGCAAACCAACAAGTTGTCTTCTGTAGTGGGGCTGGGAAAAGCCTGTGAGGTTCCAGGACAGAGCCTGTGACCTGCTGCTGTCCCCAGGGTCAAAAAAGGATGAGAGGGTAAGTGCTCATTGAATCCATGTGGTCACTGCTCCCATTTTATCAGCACTGTACAACTGCCCTATGATATCATTGATACCCAAACAAATTCAGGTCAGGAGTGCAAAAGTAGCAAAGACTGCTCCATATTAGATCTATTCAGATAGTTATGGTAGCTGTATTCCTAATTATTTTTGTTTCTTTTCCCAGGTGTAATTAATACTGCCTGTGATGCACAGAGGCTCAGAGGCTGAGAGATTTGACTAGAAGCCAGGAAAACACTAGATTGAAATGACTTCAGGCAGAAAGCCCTGTGTTTAAGGAGAGTACTTGGGAAAATACAAGGGATGTTTATGAGATGTTCTTAATCACCAATCATTGCCAGGGAGGCAAATCAAGAGATTGTATTTCAGCAGGCTAAAAGGGGTGAGAGGAGGGCTGTGCATTGCTCTTTAGCCCATAAAGAAATGTCACAAGCAGCATGTAACTGCACACTGAGGAAGGCTGGGTAGAAGGCAGCATCCCCATGATTTAAGTTTCACAGTTCAACTACATTAGCAGACTAATATATTGTATTCCTGGTTTTTCTATATGGCACTCCTGGCGGAGGAGCAGGGCTCAGTACAAATCACTGCAATAATTAAGAGTGATCTCGGCCTCAAACAAACTTATTCTCTACAGAAGGCAGAAACCACAGAGAGAGATATGGTGAAACAGGGGATGAAAAATATTAAAGTACTAGCACAGGGTTCAGAAGGGCTTAGGCACAGAGCCACCCTGAGCAGCCAGGGCTATAGCAGGGACTTATGCAGATAGGACCACAAACTGGAATCCTTGGCACAGTCACATGGGACACATTTACATCAGCTGGCCCTGTTACTAGAGGCTCTGGGGCAATTTTCTCAGTGTTATATTTTTAATGCAACTTCTCTATCTGGTTTCTCATCTGGTGAAAGAGGCTTGCAGCTATGGAAGAGAGGTCTGGCCAACATCACTTCAAGTGTGTGTGTTTTAGGTACATAGATCTCTGCACTCACAGATGGCAGCATCTGCTTGTTCCCTCCAGGGCTGTACATCCCACTCCAGCTACTGGAATGGGAAAAAAAAAAATGCCAGGTGCTTCATGACTATATTTTTTCCCCAATGTTTTTGGACTCTGCAGACATGAACAGCTCCCATTAATTGTCCAATAGGGAGATGCTACTGCCAGGAAGTAGCTGACAACACTTTCTCTGCTCATCACAACACAGCAGCCAAAGTCCCAGAGGGCAGCTTAGCAGTGTGTCCTGTCAGAGCCAGTTTGTCTGTGTGCCTTTGTGGTGGAAAGGTTAAAATGGGAACTAAGCTGATCACATTCATCTCCGTGGCTCCAGCCAGCTGGACCAGGGTTGAAGCAGTGTGTCTGAGAGGTTGGCAGGCAGGGAAAGGAATCCACCCACTCAGCAGTGCTCAGACCCCATCAGGGCTAGGCTGTTCAGAAAACCTTGCCTTGACTTTACACTAGGCTCCAAATTAGCTGTACAGACAGTGAGAGGATGAAACAGATGTACAACATCACCAACATCCTCCCTAGATTTTGTCCCTCTTCCCCCCATGAATAATTTAGAAAATCTTGGAAGATCAGACTTTAGTTCAGTAAGCTAAATGTGAGGATAGAGCAGATTGTTGATGCAATTTTTTGGGTGTGAGGCACCACCAGGTACAATATTTTAAAGACCACAAGCAGAGTCAGCTCTTGGCAGGTGGTAATAATGCTTTGCAGTGCTCTGGGTCAATGTGAACTGCTCAAGGATGGCATGAACCAGCACAAACCACAGATCACATGATTTTCTATGGAGGATTTCTATCAAGGAAAAGATTTTACTTCTTTTTAACCCATGCAATCTGGCATGATCACATTGTAAGGTGGAACAAATACACACCCACCTTGCTTATGTAGATACCAAAACTTTTTACTATCTCTTTGATTACAGAGAGCCTTCAGATGGCTACTGCCCAGGGATCAGAGTGGACAAAGCAAACGACAGCCACCAACACAGGAACAAAAGCACTACCAGAGAGTAGAACAGGAGTGTGTTACCATCACAGGAACACTTACATTAGTTATCACAACGGTGTATGAGGCACCAAAGTCAAGCAGCCCCAGCTCCAGGGGGAACTCTCCTGTTTCAGTTATGCATTTTCCATTATTATATCTAGATAAAAGGATGAAGGACAGTATTTCCCAGTTAGTTCCATAAAGAACACAGAGCAGAGCTATCAAACGTGCCCCTGAAATGGAGCAGAGAGGATGCAAGATGTAAAGATGAAGTAGCATTTATATCAGATAATCACTGGAGTTCTTGCTATCTTATCCTTCCAGAAACACTTAGACACTGACTGGAATTTACCTAATGACCCAGGTCATTGCTAACATTTTTTAATGGTTTCTGCTTTTTCTTAGCGCTGATATAATTTTTCTGCCCTTAGGTCAATTTTCCTCCCAGATTTTGCTGCATTTCTTAAGGAAATGTAGGCCAGACAAGTAGTCAACAGGAAATCACAGATGTGGACCCAGAAGCAACTTTGCTTCCTTTCAATAGAGCAAATTAACCTTCATATTTGTTCTTCCGATTTTGGATGTGTGAGATGGCACAGAGGCTCAGCAGCATTGCCACAATGGCTGCGTCCTACTAAATTGCAGCAATAAATATTTTGGATGGAGCTGATGCAGAGAAAAGCCATGAAGCTTGTTTTGAAACATTGGAAATGCTAGAAATACCCTACAAGAGCCAACTCCAGTGCTGCCAAACCATGGCCATATGGAGCCCCTGTCTAACAAGCCCAGTCTGCAAAGCCATGTAATGCTACTTGATGTTACCAGCCCACATACTAACACTTGGTAGCCTGGAATATGAAGTGGCCTTTCCCTGAGAGCACCCCAACACCAGGAGCCTGGGCCTGAGAGAGTAACAAAATAAAGCAGGCACTAAATGGCAAAGGACACTTTACCATGTCCCACCTTACTCCACTGGCACAGGAATGGCCAATCTCTTTCCTCCAGGCCCCCACATAATGTGAATAAAAACTTTTGCACACACATGAGTGGCCTGGAGCACCTGCTCTACTCTGAGTTGATAATTCTGCTTTTTACAAACATCTGCCCCCCACAACCACATGCCGAGACAAGAGCAATGCAGGTTTTGCTCTTAGACTCAGAAAAGTCTCTTTGTACCCAAGGAAATGCCTCAGCAAGGACCTTCAGCTCAGGAAGAGAGACTTACATGTCCCTCTCCAGCAGTGAGTACTCAGAAGCACTGTAGTTTTTCTGAACAGCAATGAACTTGTTGCTATCAACGGTGAGGTTGACATCTTGGCTCAAACCATTAATGAATCTGCAAAGAAACCATATTTTATTGACCCATCACACAGGGCAGAAAAAGCATAATTGCAGACACTTTAGCAGTTTGCATACTCTCTCAAAGCATTCTGTAATTCCATAAGTTTATGAAAGTCTCTTCTGCAAGTTACTAAAATATTTGTCTGATTCATTGCCTAGTTTTTCAATACAAGATTATTTTCCCTGTTGCATAATTTTACCCTCTTACTCTCTTTTCTATGAAAAGTGACCCTCACTTTTTGTGGTCTAGAACCTCCTGGCAATCCAATCTCATAGACCAACAAAGATTGCAGCAAATTCTGAGAAGGCCATAAAGATGATCAGAGGGCTGGGGCACCTCTCCTGTGAAGACAGGGTGAGAGAGTTGGAGCTGTTCAGCCTGGAGAAGAGAAAGCTCCAGGGAGACTGAAGAGCACCTTCCAGCATCTGAAGAGGTCCTACATGAGAGCTGGAGAGGGACTTCTTAAAAGGGTATGGACTTATAGGACAAGGGGGAATGCCTTTAAACTGAAAGTGGGTAGGGTTAAATCATGTTAGATCTTAGAAAGAATCTCTTCATTATGAAGGTGGTGAGGCACTGGAGTATGTTGCCCAACAAAGTTGTCCATGCCTCATCCCTGAAAATGTTCAAGGCCAGGTTGGATCGGGCTTTGAGCATCCTGGTCTAGTTGGAGGTGTCCCTGTCTATGGCAAGGGTGTTGGTACAAGGTGATCTCAAGGTCCCTTCCAACCCAGACCATACCCTTGTACCATACCCAGGATTCCAGACAGACTTTCAAGAGGATTTGGGCAAGGTGAAATTAGAAAAAAACTATAACAACAAAATGAACACACCACAAAATAAAAACCAAAAAACCAAACAAACAAATCAAACCTTAAAAACAATGTTCAACTCCTTTATCTGAAAGTTTGTATAGACAAAGTAGGAGAGCAGTATCTCTTCATAGCCCTGTACTTGTGAAAGTTTCTACTGACTAAACACCTTGAAGACTTGATTTAGTCAGAATTTTTCAAATATTTTCTTGTGGAGAATTTTGAAAAAAAATCCCCAGACTTTCCATTTAAGAATTTGTAAAGAAGTTTCACTAGGAAGAAACTAAAAATTTACTTTTGTTAAGCACTTAACTAACTTCAGGGATTTTACCCCCATTTAAAGAACTAAAAACCAAAATATCTTAAAACATAGGCCAAATGAAAAGTGTTTCATTTTACTATGAATTGCCAGAGGGAAAGCGTCTTTTGTCTCTGAAAAAACACCAAACAAACTGTTCCCATATAAGTTTTAGTTTTGATGAAGATATCTTATTGTGCTAGAAAACTCCTTGCCACTGGTAGAAACTCTTTGCCAGCATGGTGCACCTGCTCTTCAGGATGCACAACTTCAGAGTTTCCTGCGGTAGGCTGACACTCTGTCCCCTCACACAGCCATTTTTGGGGGGGGAGTGTTTGGATTTTTTTGGGTGGGGTGTTGTTTGTTTGTTTTTGTTTTGGTGGTTTGTTTTATTTTGTTTTTTGGGTTTTTTTTTTTTGCAAGTTTGTGTCTTCTGCACCTCAGCAGCCGGCACAAACCAGAACAGGAGTGTTTATGGACTAAATGGAGTAGTTCAAATTAGGAAGAGTGGACTAAGCAGAGCCCAATGCCCAGCTGAATTATTTATGAGGATATAAAATTGCTGCTGCATCCAATTTAGTAGACACTTGTGCATGAGTTTGGGTGAACGTTATGGGTTGGCCAATTTGCAAAGGACATAGCAACAGCTCCTATCCAAATTGCTGCCTCCCTCTCATCAGTGAGATGAATCTGCCACTTTTCCAAGGAAGGAACACTTTTATGTTGTCATCACAGCCCAGACTATCCCTAGGCAGTGAGCAGCAATAGTTCTCAGCTCTGCATGGCATGTGTGGGAGGTGACACTCTGTCAAGCCTCCACAGCTGACACCCAAGTCTTGCATGAGAAGTGTGGACTAGATTCCAACCCAGGAACATCTGGGCTATGTTACATACAGATGCATTAGACAAAAGCACTTTCCCTCACCCAACCACCGCCAAATCCTCAAAAAAACACTATTCCTACCTAACAGCTGCCAAACCATTTTCTGGCTTTGCTTCCAAGTCTGTAATCTAAAGAGAGGAAGAAAAAAAAACCATCAAACATATTTAATAATGCTGCCTTACAATGTGTGGCAGACAATAGTGGTGTCTGCAGAGTTATACATGTGCTGCAAAGCCTGTGTAAATCGACTGTACTCTCACATAAGCTTTACATCAGGCCACAGCTGGGGAGCCCTGGTACAATGAAGCCAATGGTAAAATTTCATCTCCTCCAAGAGCTTAAGTTGAGATCATACCTTTTCTTCTCATCTCTTCTGTAACAAAGGCTACTGAGTTTCAGCCAGTCACCCTTCTACTGAGGCATGTAACACTCTCCAAAAAAAGTATTTTTCTTGATATTGAGATAGCAAGAGAGCATTATCCACATTAGCATCTTTTAGTGACTAGTTACAATTAAACTTGAGTGCCTTACTCCTACATAATCTACAAATGCCTAACTTTCAGACCCTGATTCTTATCATATTCATAGACTTCACAGAAGTCTAAAACTGAGAGGAACTGCTAGGTTACTATCCTGTTGATCATGCATCACTCATGCTTTCCCTGATCCTCAATACTCAAGAGATTAAACTGTTGTAACGTGCAGGCAGAGAGCAGGAGAAACCAAGATGCTTGTTTGTGCTCACAAACAGATCTCTGCAATGGCCATATGGATGGGCACACTGGGGAGTGAGAGTCTCTCCTGGAGACCACAACTAGAACAGCAGCTAGATAGATAATCAACATTCATTTGGAGAAACCTGTTTGGTGTACAATGCTGAAAAAACACAATTAAGACACAGCCCTGCCCTGAAGGTTGTATGTCACAAAAAAAAAAAAAAGAACACAAAGCAAAGCTTATGGCTGGTAGAAATCCAGAGATGTGCCATGTCCACTGAAGATGGCAGGGCAATTTCAATTTGCACTGCCCACAGATGGAACCCAGGCAAGCCAAAAGGGACTTTAGAAACTGGCTCTCTCTCAAAATTTTCTGGCCCTTTCTCCACACTTTTTTTCCTGAAGCAAAACCCTGAGTTTCTGAGACCAAAGATCCAGAATTTCAGTATATCTATTAATGTCTATTGTACTTCAGAGTAATATGCTACCCACAAATAACATATGCCCTAAATAATAAATAGCCACAGTGAATAATAAATGTCAGAGTAATAAATAATAAATGGCAACATCATTTTTTTTCCATGGGAGACACACGGGGATGAATACTCTAGTTCGCTGCAGATAGACCAGCCAAATTATTACTCGTTTTCACTGATGATCCCCAGAGCTCTCAAATTCATTTCCTGCCTACTCAACAGCCCACAAAGGAGAATAAACCAATTTCAGATATGATCCTTCCAGGAAAGCACTCCCACCTGAGTGAGTGGGCCAAACCCAGCAGTGAGGGAGGTAACTCGAGGGTGAGCCCTGCAACACAGCAGTGATGCTGGCACTGCTTTTCTTGCATTGTAATGCTGGAAAAGTACCATTTACCATGCTGTCTTCCACATCTCCCTTATCTAGAGCTGTGAATGACAGGTCAATAGCATTACCCAACAGCAGAGATGTTTCCCAGCACATGAGAGCCTGCCTGTGCCAGGGTGGGCATTAATTTAAGCATAGTCTAGACAGCTGGGGCAGCATAGATGTACGGGAGCTCTGAGATTGCTATGCTCCAAGCCTGTTGCAGGCTTTGGCTTCTTAAGGACTGTATGAAAATCACAAGTATGCATTTCTTAAGGAAACAGCACACAGCTTTCAGGGTCACAGGGGAAACTTAACTTCGTGTGATACTGAGCTCCAGACTCCAAACCATAAAGTTTGATCATCAGCAACGAACCTGGATGCTATGACAAAACAAATTCTTAAAATTAATTTTAAAAAAGTTATATGATTTCTACTATGCAATATTGAATGCTTGGTGTGGCTACCCTGCAAGGTAAAAGGCTGAAGAACTGCAAAGAGAATGAGTATTTTAGCATGAGGACAGATTCTGACGGCATTTACACACCTGCCACAATGTGCAATTACACCATGAATTTCAAGAGAGCTTCTCAGGATACAGCTACACATAAAAGATATTAGGATCTGCCCTACACATCCCATATGCCCCTCTCTGATTGTTGCAGAAATACACAAAAGTCCAAACACAGCCAGCTCTGCTGCAGAGCCTAAAATGAGCTTAATTATTTATTCTGTTCAGCAAAACAAATGGGCCTTCTGTGCTTTTTCACTAAACACTTGCAATAACTAATACCAGAATCATTCCTCTGATGCTTTTATTCCACGGCCAGCCCTAGAGCCTCTTTAACATCTTTGCTTTATAGAGGCACCTTTGGGGGAAAACCTCTGGCTGTTTCCCCAGCTTTCTCCAGCTCTGCTGCCTAGCAGGCATGACTCTGCTCTCCCACTGCAGCACTCAGTGGATAAAGTGTGCCCAGAAACTCTCAGATGCCACAACGTCTCTATTAATCAACCAGCAGAAATGTGTACAGATCCAGTGCCTCTAGCTAAGAAATGAGGTTTAGAGCATCTGAGAGCAATCAGACAGACATTGCAACTGAGCAAATGAATTAATGAGCCTATTACCCCATTGTAGCACCACAGCATTGAATTAATACTGTATTTACACTTCACTCCCACACTCACTAAGTGGCTTGACAGGCTTCCTTCTGCCGCAAAAACAATTAAGCTGTATACTGATTTTTCCTTCACAGTGTAGTTAAAAGCAAGAGTCAATCCTTGATGTTGCAGGGTGAAGTGAAGGCTCTGTTGCTCTCCATTCAATATTAATTTTGAGTACTCAGCTGGGTTCTGCAGAAGAAAATAAAGTTGGTTACACTTTCTTCAGATAAGAAAGGATTTGTATTTTCCTACCAGGTGTAACACTATCCCCTCTTTAAGGGAGACTGTAATCCTGTTATCCTTTATTCCTAATTACAGGTGAATGTAAAGTGCATCCTTTGCCAGGGAAATTCTTCTCCAAATGTTCAATTTCTGTTTCATATAACAGAGATATTATGCTTCATTTGTAAAGCTATTCCCATGCACTTCTAAGGCAATGGAGCAGAACAAGCTTCTGCATCTGTGGGCTTTATTAGAAAATGCCTGAAAAAAAACTCCATCCTTTCTTCAATGACATGCAAGTCAGGCCTTTCAGTCCCAGATATATGCTTACCTGAAAAGACTCCACAGGCTGCTGAAATAGGTCCTTGTCTTGGATTGTCACTTGAACAGGGTTCTTGGCCAAATTCAGGACCCGAATTAAACTTTCTTTTGGGACAAGTCGAGGCATATCAGTTTCCTAATTAAAGTAAAAGGCTTTAAGTGCCATCTGTATGCTTTATTAGCACTTTAATATCTCTTCATTTTTAGCCATAATAGTCTTCCTCTCTGTAATGACACTTTTCCATCCCTTCCTCTACAGAAGTTGCACTCAGAGAAAACTGAACATAAATCATTTTTAGGGAGGTTCCCTCATAGTAGCTCAATGGCCAACCCATCATTCCTCCCAAAAATTGCTCTTCACACGACTAAGTGCACAGACTACACACCTACTGAGGAGGTAGAACAATGTCACAGCTTTCATTATACAGCTCCCTTGTGCCTGGATTTAACCAACTGCCACATCAGAATGGAAAATTTTGTGCTTAGCTTTCAAAAGCAGTGACCAGAATAATTATTTCCCACTGCAGTCAGTGACTAGGGAAAGAATCAGACCAGAAGTTAAGTAGTTACGAAAATCCCAGTCCAGCTTTATGTCTGTAATCAGTGCTTTTACATTACTGGACACCTTGCTATCTCTACAGCTGACTTTATAAATATTATTCCTTGTTTTCTGAGAGAGGTAAGCTGATGCCTCCAGCACTGAGGTATCTCCTTCTGTCAGGAATCACTTCCTAGAAACAGTACATCAATCAGTGTCAGCCTTGTACTACCTGCAGAGCTAATTTTTTTTTTTTAAACTTCTATTTTTTTTTCTCATTTTATTTTCAAGTAGCTGCCAGCAATACTGCAGAACTATTTATTTTTCTTCTATCTTATCTGATAATTTGGGTATTGCAGGCAGGGCATTTTGAACCTAACTGGGTGGGGAGACACACTGCCAAAGAAGTCAGAATGAGCTGATTTCCCTGTATCTATATGCCGCTCTGGACCAACAGGCCTGCTAATATTATCCAGCACATTCCATTATTGTAGCTTTTCAATTCTGCTACCCATAGCCAAGTGAAGGTGGACCATCTTATCCTTCTCTTTCTTAGATCTTAAAATGGCCTTTAGAGTAAAATTTTCATGCACAAGCAGGGGGGAGACTCTAACTCCCAGAGGAGGAGCCTCTGCCCAGAGGAGTCACCCACAGCCAGAGAAAACTTTGGTGTTTGGCCAGAGATTCTAGTGGTGGAAATGAGAGCATTTCTTTGCTCACAGAAAGAGATCAGAAAAAAGACCTGAACCCACACAGTCTCTTTTCAGTGGGAGGCTCATTAGGGGATTCACCTGAGGAACCAGCAGATGTTAATCCAGGGCTGTGAGCCAGCCACTCTAACAGAATGTTTGAAGTATACATAGAAGCTTTAAAAATTAATCCTATAGTAACTTTTGTGAGACAAAGGTCAGCCAAAGTCTACACAATGCTGGTCATGAGCCAGAAACAAACAGTACAAATCTGCAGGAGCTAACATGGAATTTATAAGAGATGTGTTGCCATCCTCTCTGGGGATGCCTGGCAGGCCCTGATGCCTGTGTCAGCAATCACTCGCCTCCCCAGAGAAACAATGTGACTTGTAAAAAAGCCACTGCATCATAAAGCAGGAAAGTAATTCAATTTTAAAATTTTAAAACAATTAAAAAAAAAAAACCAAACAAACCTGAAACCACCATACACACATAAAAGACCCCAAACAGAAAAGTATAGGCAAGCTACAGCAAGAAATAGGAGAGAGAATAGACTACCTTTTGGAAATTAATCACTAGCATTAACTAGATGTCTGTCAAGCACTTTGACGATGGAAATCTAGAATATAGACCAATACAGATGACCAGCACAGCAAAACTGCAAAGACTAGAAAGAAAGACATAGGGACAAAGAGAGGGAAAAGTAGATAAGGTAAGAATTATCATCAGCAACTGGATCAGTATGCTCAATTGTAAAGAAAACATTACAAATTGTGACCAAGGAGCACAATGGCTTAAAGGATTATCTACCAGACATCACTAATAACATCCCATGGAAAGAAAGTATTTCTGAGGAATGCCTTGTGTTTTACTTACATTTATTTTGACTTCTATAACAGCTGCAAGTCCAAATGCCAGCCCTGCAAGGATCATACCTGTTGCCATTTTCCTAATAGGTCTATGGAACAAATGAAAGAGGTGCCATTAAGGGAAAAAAAGTAATTTAAACTATAGAATACCATTCCTTAGAGCCAAAGATGTGCCAAAACCATGTAATAAACTGTCCAACAGGTGGCACTCAGGATGACAGGTTATTTAAATTGCCAATCTCTTAACTTAAAACTATTTTATTATTCTGCATGAGGCCAGTCCTGAGGCCAATTAAAATTGATATGCCGTGAAAATAAGTTCTTTCCTTGCAAGTTTCATATTATCTTTTTCACAGCTCTTCTAGTGGGACTAGCTCATGACATTAAGTTAATCCATGATGTTGGAAGGAGCAACAGAAAGATGTAACTTCAAGTCCCTTTTGGGAAAGGCAAAAGAAAAGTAACATTCTATTTAGCAGTGGGAATGAGGAATAGAAAAATGTGTAGTTTATGTGTAGTAAATGTGTAGTCATCAATGTTTTTGACCATCTGGGGCATCATTCTGGGTTATTTCTCATGCCAATACATTTACATTTCTAGAAAATAAAGAGCTTTCTTCTAAACTCAAGGCAAAGCTAGTGTAACTTTACCAGAATTATGTGAGAAAATCTGATATAAATCAGAATAATACATATCCAGAACAGCAGATTCAAACTGAGTATTGAGTTGTTGAGATTTGAGACAAATATGTTTCTAGATTCAGTGATCTCAACTCTTAGTAATGCTCTTTAGTCCTGGCATTCACTCTTGGTTGGTGCTTGAGTTTGTGCTGCTGAGTGAATTACTCTGTGAGTTGGTCATCAGGCAGGAAGTTTTCCACCAAGTCAAGGCACAGTTCGGGCCATGGCCTCACAATGGTATCAGGGAGAAGCACAGCCTCTGATGTATATCCTCCAAAAGGGGCACCATTGCAGCCTGGACGATATTTTTGATATGTCTTCAGGTTCCAGCAATTCAGCACAGTGGGAAAGGACCAGCAGGGTAAAGGGAAAGGCTTCTGAGGCACCTGCCACCCCCATTTTATGTGGTTTTGTCCGTCCAGCATTTTATTTTGGATTAGGAACATGCTTTTTAAGCCAATCACCCCACTCATTACCCTTTCCCATGCTATGGCTCACATGCAGAAGTGGTGCTGAGGCATAGAAACTTGTCTCCTTTCAGTAGAAATTCTACTGACAAAGGCACTCCAAGAGTGCACATAATGTACTTCCACTGCTACAGGGCATCAGTCCACAAAGGCAGCATACAGATACTCTGAAGTTAATTCACACAAATTGCATAAAGTGGGTCTCATAAACAACCTGAGGTCTGTTCCTATTACACTGCACTTTTTGCTAACATAGACTAAGGATAAAATGCTTGGCTCATATGGAAATCTCCTTATGCACTCACTGGATCAGATCCTAGCCAGCATGGGACCATGAATTTGGTCCCACAGGGACTTTTCAGAAAGGGAATTATTTAGGCATGACCTGGGAAACAAGGTGGAAAACATGTTTATCAAATTCAAAGTGAGACTACTCTATCTACTTTTAGAAAAATCTGTACAGAGCAAAATTCAACATCACTTTTACCCTCTGGCATTTCCATGAGGAAATGAGTTGCCTCCTTCTGTCCTGGAAGAGGGTGATGCTGCCTCTTGGGACTGAAGCGTACTCAAGTACTGGGAAAGGTGAATGGAAATTTGTGTTTCTCTTCCTTAAAAGTTATTCTGTACATTTACAGCAAAAGAAAAAACACAGATGCATCTGCATTGTCCCCAAGTACTTACGTGAAATTCAATTTGCACATGTTTATCAGGGGGTAGAGCCCAAGGTCAAAAATTGGGATGAAGACAAGAATAAGAAGTGGATTTAAGAACTGCAATACAAAAGAATGGGAGTTCAGTGGCTAGAAAGCAACTTTTAGTAATTAAACCCATAAAGCTCTGTCCTCCAGAAATAATTCCATTACAGAAGGGACATGGACAAACACTTAAAACCTCCTTTTAAAATATAATCACAGTTTGCACTTAACAGCTTCTGCTATTTAGTTTTCACAGGCATGAATATATTTTGTTCATATCCTCCCATCCAAGAGGCAAGCAAGCATCACTGGCCCAGTTTCCCTGGAGAGAGAACTGAAACATGATGTTTTTAAAGAGTACAAACCCCACTGACAATAGAGACAGGTGACCTTTGGTGCTGTGGTGGGACCTTACAACAAATCAGCAACAATGGAAACATCTTGGGACTTCAGCAAAATCCCAGAGGAACAGGCACTATTCTGTGAGATTGGCAATTTCTCACACTTCAACACAACCGAGTAATCCCCCAGGAACAAAATTTCTCCTGATAGGGGCACAGCTTGTCTGCCAGCCAGAAGTGGCAAAGCAAGAAAATAGAGAGCAATGAAGAACAAGCGGGAGAAATGTAGTTTCAGTTCCAAAGGAAGATTTCAGGGAACAGAGCAGCTTTGAATTTCTCCAGAGCTAGTCACCATAAGAACTGTAATCAACTCTGACAACATAGCACCATCTTGCTTTCATGTTTTCATCTACCCTGCAGAAAGGGAGAAACCAAACATATTTCAAGAACCATGTTCATCCCAGGACAGAAGCCTGTTAAAAGGACATACAGGTTATATTCTCCACATGCCAGCGCTGGTTCAAGAACTATTATGGTGGCATTTTATCCCACACCTTGGCACTGTTCTGCAGGACTCAACTGCATTAGGACATCCTCGGGGTCTTCTGAAGCCCAAGCTTGCAAAACAGCCTGTGAACAATAACGCAGAGGCCACACCACAGCAACCAGCAGGAGCACTGCTATTACCTTGAAAAGGAGCAGAGAATGGCCACTGGTCCCATGAGAAAAATATAAATGAGAGAAAAGAAGAAGATACATTCTAAGGGTTATTTCCTACCCTGTAATATATTTTACCTGCATTTGGTCAGGCTGAAGGACATATATTCCCTGAAATAAAAAGATATTCCAAGTGATTCATAAGCACTATAGAATATCAGTGCATATGGTAAATAAGTAATCAGTCCCAGAGAGGCCTTTGCAGTCAAGGTGGTTTCCTCAAATGCTTTATGTTGGCTTTAGCAGCTGATATTGTGCTCTTGACACTTTTTGTCTAAGGACACTGTTTAATAAGATCATTTTGCAGAAGGAAGCTGCACTCAATCCTTGATATTTGGCAGCTGTGACCCAGCTCCTGACAGGTACTGAGGCTCATCTTTCAGGCTGGCTGAGCCATGAACCAGCTGAGTGGAGAAGGATGAGGGTGTTAGTGTCCAAGCTAGGAGGCAGGCTTAGAGCTTCTTCCCTCCCTGCTTCAATGATGTGAAAAGCCCCAATCCTATAAGTAAGCGTTCTCAAGCTTCGGGACCCTGTGAGCTCTGTTGGCATTTCTCCCAAGTTCCCAAAAGGATAATAAAAGACCATCCTTGAGCCCGTGGGCTGCACAAACACCTCTTTCTTCTCCCTGTCTGCATCTACCAGGTTTTGGATAAATGCAGCTTTTTGGTTTGAGCCAAGAGTCCTCAAGGCTATAAGAGGTGCCTCATACTTGCATCACTATCCCAGCTCACACAAATGGGCAAGGTCAACAGGGATGGATGGATAGATGGGATCCCGGACTCCAAAAGGAACCTTGGACCTGTCTCCAGGGAGCGACTGGTGGTTTTCTGAACCCCATTAAATGCTTTTCATTTGAAATTAAGATGAAAATGGGGAGAGGAGGGGGTTCGGTGGGAGGGCGAGGAGCAGGGAGGAAGGGTGCAGAAGGAAAGAAATTAGGAAGGAAATAAAGTATTTCCAATAAAATGCTGGGGCTGTGGGGGGGAAGTTGGGGGTCTCCTGTCTGCCAGTTCTGTCCTGAGCGGAGTCTAGACTGGCTGCCTGTCTCTGCCCAGAGCTGCCTCCTGGGAGAGTGGAAAAACACCAGGCAAATACCCCCTCCTGCTACTCTTCACACACTATAGAGATGTGCCATAAGGAAATGAGCCTTCAAATACTTCATCTGACACTAAATCATTCCCTGTTTGACTCCAGACTTCCTAGCTGAGCCCTTGTCCACTGAACAGAAAGTCAGAGAGTATTATGAACATGAACTCCAGCAAGCCTAAAGGTGGCATCACTCCGATGTTGCAGTTAATTTTCACCTTCGTGAGGTAGGGCAGCTCATGAGGGAAGAGCAGAGGAGACTGAAACAAAAGCCAAGGAGCTATCTAAGTTGGTGTGACAAAATAAAAGCCTTGACTCTATCTTGCCACACCTGGGAGAGTCCAGTAGTGACACCTGGTGACACTTAGCTCTCCTGCTAATGGATCACTAAGTGCATGTGGGCGAAACACCAGAAAACAAATGTTTTAGATATACATCACATAGACTTCATGGACTTTGTTCTGTCTTCCTGAGGTGGATAAATATTACCCAAGGTGTAGTCTTTTTCATGCCTCATTTGAACTAATTAAGCCTAATGATTATTACATATTGAGAGCCCAATTTTTAACAGGAGTGACAGAAGGTCTCAAATCTGTGGCTTTAAGACAATTATAAACTGGAAAATGGACATTTACAATCCCAGATTTTGATGTGAGCATCTGCAGGCAAGATCTAGATGGCAAGATCTAGACATATATGTCTGAAAAACAGCCCAGTGTGGGGACACCTTCGGGCAGATAACTGATCTATGTTTATCTGCTACTGCAGCCTGCATCATTTGCCATTCACACCTTTGAAGAACTTTATGGAACATAGCTAATTAATCCCTATCACATTTTTATCCTATACACAAGATTCCTGCTGGTTTTAAGAGACTCCATTAATGTATCACCAAGTGATTCAGTGCAGAAATGTACAACAGCTCTAGTCACACCTTAAAAGGGTTGAGTGACTTGTATGTCTTCCATGGGGGAAGCAGGCCGAAAATCCTACCTGCCCTAGGTCATAGGGCCACTGGCTGCCAGCAGGTCAGCACCCCTGACCTTGCAGGCTGCTGATGGCTCCCCAGCCCTCACTTCTAGCTGAGATGAGCTGTGATGGACTGAACGTGGCTGCATGAACAGAGCCTCTGGCTTCTAATCACCAAAAGTGAGATTCACCCAGATTCACCAAGCAGACGCTCTTAGTACTGCAAGACTCCAGTTAATAAGCAAGAGCAGGGATGTTACTACTAGTCTTACCAGCCCTGATGACATTAAATACTTACAAAATCAGCATTCATTTTTGTGGCTTGCAAAGTCCACCTGGATCCCTAAACAGAAAAGAAGACAGCGGTGAAACCTTCAATATCTTCTATGGGGCTAGAAAACATGGGGACAGAGAAGATGACAGTGATGGAGGTCGTATTTCCCCATCTATTCCTTCCCTTCCCTGTAATACCTGTCATTAGGCAGGGCACATTCTCTCCTTTCATTCTCCTGTGCCAGACACCTGGCAGGACTCTGAAGGGCTGACCAGCAGGGATGGTGGAAGGCCCTGGACACTTGGTAGGAGTGTGGCCCACTGTGTCCCAGGATGCTTTGGCATAACCCCAAAAGAACAGAGGTGCCAGCCAAGGCTGGCAGGCAGAGCTGTACCCACAGTACTGTACCTGCTGATCAAACAGGGCCCAGAACATTGGCAGTGGTATGAAGAGGAAGAGAACACGAGTCACCATCTTAACCTCCCCAATCAGCTGTTTCTAAAAGGGAACAGGCAAAAAGGTAAGGTAGGGATGTAAAGCCAACAGGTGATTCAAGCCACAAAGCGTAAGTCCTATTTCTTTCTGCATGGCAATTCTTCATTGCACTTCCTTGTGATATTGGATATGTTTGCATTTCTACATTTCAGTGCAGCACCTAAACTGTCCATTAAGGGTCAGGAGAGTACAGATGTGGGAAGGGAAAGGAAAATGCATGTGAGAAATGGTGTGGCCACACCAGTCTTACTGTCTCCCCTGTCTGTCTGCCCATTTCCCCCTTCCCACTCCAAACCTACCAGGCAGAGCATCACTTACTGAGTATTTTTCTGAAGCCCAGTCCAGCCAGTGATCTCTCTTTGGAATCTCACGGGAGCGGTTTTTCAGCCGGTTTTTAATAGCAAACTGTGGATAAAAATGGGTGAGTAACTCACTCATGCTGTACCTGCCCTTGTCACATTCCCAACTCAAGGCTACCTTCCCCATCTCCAAATATAAGTAGTGGCAAAACATTGAGGGTGGTGGGTTGCTGGACCTCTAAAATCTCAGATTGGATGCTTTATGATGAGTTGTGTGCAGGGAAGTTTCTATGACACTGGTTGATTAAAAGTATGATGGGAGAATCAATCATAGAATCACTGAATCTTAGAATATCCTGAGTTGGAAGAGACCCACAAGGGTCACTGAAGTCCAGCTCCTGGCCTGTTTATGCTGTGTGCTCTCGTCACTGAACACACTGAGCCACACTGTCAAAAAAAGTGGCAGACCTGACTTAGAAATCCTGTCTTTAAGATCCTGCCTGTTTCCCCAAGGTAAATTTGGCAGTAGGATTGACCTAGATAAAGAGAAAACATCTGCTGTTAGCAACAGCTTCCTGAAATAGAAACATCATTATCCACCTAATAATAAGAGAGTATTTTTCACATAATATATTCAGCTCACACACCATGAAAAACAATTTATAAGGCTCTAATGCAACTTCAGCAAGCATCTCTTGCATTTACATGAACGTGCTGAATGTCCGTAATATGAACGTGTGATATTACTGTCTGCTGAACTGATAAAGTTGAGAAAAACTGAAAAAAAAAATGGAGTAATATCTGATACTCTCTGAGTTTCTAAATTTTCCTTTCAGTTCAGTCTCCACCAGCATCTGCCACTTGTGGTTCTACTACATGGACATCAACTGAACAGTTCATGGAGCTAAGGGAAAACAATTGAAATGATGAAAGAATAAAGTAGGACCTAAATGTTTTTCTTATTCCTTACAGCTCATCAGCAAGACATCCCAAAGCAGGATAGAGAAGAACTCCAAAAGTCACCTCCCGTTTCCCTTTGCACCTTTTTGTCCTGCAACCTCAGACTCATGCATAAAAAAGAAAATGACACACACTTACACCGATGCATTTGCACACTTCCAGCAAGACGTTTCCTTGTGGTGGTGTTTTTCTGTACAATCCACTTCCAGCAATGAACACAACTGAAAAAAATATTATTATCCAAATGGGAATTCAAATAGCTGAAGCTCAATTCTGCACTGGCTTCTAGGAAGGTTTCCCACCCCTGTATTCAACAGAAATGCTCTGCCCTTGGGGCACACAGGATCACACTTCTAACGAAATAAAAAGAGTTCTTTAATGCCTACAGATGGAAAAAAATGCAACATCCTAAAAGAGGCAGTGTGATCCTTAGAAAGTCACTGTCGTAATATCTGCTCTGGCACAATAGTTATCTGATTGTGTATAACTTCTCCTGTTCTATGAGAGTCTTCAAGGACACTGGAATTCCAAAGAGATTAGTAGGGAGAAGCACCTTAAAACTGAGCATGAAATCAATATAATAATAATAATAATAATAATAATAATAATAATAATAATAATAATAATAATAATAATAGTAACTCCCTGAACTTTTAAAACTAACCCAATTATCTGGGTCAATCCACAGGCAGTGGAGAATAGCAGGTACTTCCATCCTAACACAAGAGGCCTGAGATACTGCAGGGAACTCACCTTTGCTTTTATCTGACTATGAAGACCTTTAGCATCCAGGTTCAACTTGCAGAACTTGAGAGACCTCTGAAGTAAGTTTAGGTGAGTAGCACTTTGCATTTGTGCAAAATCACCCAGAGTGGGTACCTGCACTACGTCATTTTTAGCATCTCCCTGTGAAGATGTTGGTGCTTCTAAAAACATGATTCATTAGGTTTGCTTAAATACCTTTTGGTGATGTCATTGACTCCTTTGGGAGCTCCTGCATTTGGAATTAATGGTATCAATCTACCCCATCCTTCAGAAATCCTAGCAGCCCAGAAAATCTTGCTCTAAATCTGCCTCTAAATCTATCCTTGCTTTCCATCAACACAGGGTGAGGGCCAGTCAGGGCCAAAAGGGTATTTTCTCCCATTCTGCATGCTACTCACATAGTCAAATGTATCAGTTCCCAGAGCATTTTAGCATGCCACAAAAGAACAGAGAGCTGCTTTGCCAGGCAGGACGTGGAATCTGGCAGCAGGACACAAGCTTAAAACACATTTCCACCGATGCCCTCACTGAAACTGCAGTACTTACACATTCACTTTACCCTGGGCAACTACTGCTCTGCTAGAAACGTTCATCATAGCATGGAGTGTGCACACAGTGTGGCCCTAAACTGATAGGAACAGGCCACAGGGGAAAATATAACCTCAGGCTTGTGACTATGCACTTTTTTGAAAATAATTCCTGCAACATTAGCTGTGGCCTGATAATATTTCTTCAGTATGCTGATTCTTCTTCCTGATAGAAATTTGAGTGGAGACAGCAACATGCACATTCTCTGATGGACTTTTCAAAATTCCAGATGCTGCAGTGAAATCACACAACTGCTTGGTCTCTCAGTGAAGGTAACAAGCGGAATGAGAAGTCACCCCATGCTGTGGCAAAAGTTCACACATGCAGTGTAATAAGGGAACTGCTCTTCTCAGCAGTTTGCAGCTGTGAAACTAAAGCTAATGGGGTGTCCTCTGTACTGGCTACCAAGGAGTAACATTAAAAATGGGGAGATTGTTGAATGTTTTATTAAGGTTGAAGAAGAAATCTTGACAAGTGCATTAATGGGGCTAAGATGCAAGCATTAAGAAGCACAGGGATTTTGGCTATCTCCTAACACTTGGATAATAAGGATTTTTTATTGAAACATAATAATAAGTTGTCACTGCAATTGTGGGAATTACTTCAGCCAAGCAAAGTAAGATAGCTCAGAACAAACTAACATCTCATCTACCTTCTTCTGCAGCACATTGATCAGCAGCAGAAGTCTGAGCCATTAAGGATGGCCCTGAGCTGCAGGAAGACCATGGAAAAGTTAGAAGTGGCATGTTAAGCCTTTCTTCTATAAGCTGGGGATCTCTAAGGACTCCTCAGATTGCAGTTCAAAGGCCATGCCTCCTCATAGGCAAAGCTGCAAGCCATCAGGAGAATCCTTTTGGTGCCTTCCTTCACATGAGAGCAAAGCAATTATATTGTGAAACATCCATCAGACCACTCCCTTTACAGTACCACAATAAAAGATTGCAGTAAAACCATGTTCTGCCCACCATCAGTCAACTAGTGATACTTATTGCTGTTCTGAACCGGGAATTGTTAGGTGACCTTGAACCCTTTCATTTCCCCTCACAGTATCCATCCAGAATTAGCGAATTTGTGAATTTTCTCATCTGTCCATCTATTGGACTCAAAAATGGTAACTCCTATTACCACTCTTTCCACTCACCAAGTGCCAACACCATCAATGCCGCTGGGACGCCAAAAGCCAGTGCATAACAATCCTCTCCAAAACATTTCACATCCCCTGAAAAAGAAATAAAAGCAGCTCATTACATCTAGACTTATGTTACTGGGGCTTTTGATTTGATTCCCTAAATCAGTCACTTCCCCTGGTTTTAAATCTTCTTTGCTGTGCTTGACACTGTGAATTGAATCTCCTTGAAACAGTTGTCCTCCCTTGATGAAGACAATTTGGAAGCAGGGTTAGTGTCTGCCAGCAAAAGCAGCTGATAATGGGATATTGATGAAAATGGTAGAAGGGAGGGGGCAGACAAATAGGTATAAAGAAGCACTAGGAACTGTAATTGGGAAAAAAAAGCACAACATTTAAAATAACCTGAAGCCATTCTGTATTTGACTAGATCTAAATAATCAGTACTGTGCTGCACCAGTCTTGAGTGAAAAACCTGAATCTGTTTTCATAGCGACCTACAGTGGACAAAGTGGAAGCCAATGCCTGCACTCTGTAAGTGAGAGCCCAGGATCAGCCCTAGAACTCCAGTTCCCTTCCTCACCACCAGCAATCCCACTAGGGGCAGCCTGCTTCAAATGTCAGGTCTTGCAGCAACCCACTAGGAAAGCAGGTGTGTTACAGCATGGGCTGCATCCATCTGAGATCTGGGTCACTGAAACCTGCACTTCTTGGACCAGCCCAGTTCTTGCATCGTGCTCTGGCTGCAAACAGCAAACCAGCAGTGGGCTCTGTGTTTGAATGCCAGGGGCTAGACATGACTGCCTTCTTACATGGATAATGACTAAATGGCTAAAGTAAGCCAACAGAGTTAACAGGAGACCAATCCATGAAGCCTTCAGCTGCTCCTGTTTGTTGCAGTTGGAAAATCCCAGTGCACAGCTGTGTGCATGCATAGCATTTATTTACTTATTTTCAGCAAAATAGCTAAAATCCAATAAAGCTGAGAGCATGGGCTCTCTGAGCACACTGAACTTTTAACATGTTAAATGAGTCGGATTTCTCTACCTAAAAGCATATACTTCATATTTGTACCAAATGACTACAAACTGCATTTCCTGCTCTTCCAAGAAAAGATTGCACACTTAGCAAAAATATTACTCTTTCCCCATCCTCTCCAGTTCCATTTGCAACTAGATTATACTGGCACATGATTTGATGCTCCAAGGGACGGAATTTTCATCTGCCCATTGACCACTTTAAGCAAAAACACTTCCCAACTAAATGCTGACCTAGAGACACCAGAGAATAAACAAGTAAGAGATAGAGCATTTGTCTTTGTCCCTGTGCATGGTTTAAACATGAGAAAAGAGCCTGTTAAAATGACACTCCAAACAAACAGAGCTTTCTGGAAGCCACAAAATGGAATTTAAAAAATGGCAACTAAATGTGAAGACTACCTTGTCCCTGTCCCTGTCACCTATGGCCTGCTGCTCTGCCTCTGTGCCCATATTGAAAGTGTGCCAATCCCTTTGGCTTCGAAGCCCTACGATACAATGAAGTAAGTGCAGCAAGGCTCGGGGACAAAAAAGGGTTTTGCAAGCAGGCTGGAATATAAAGTAGGTCTTAAATGGGGCATAGGCCTGTGCTTTGTCTTCAAAGCTAGTTGCTCAGGGTAGCAATCTCGCAAGCAGACCCACACAGACAAGCCTGAGTGCCAGGACAGGGCCCTCCAGAAGTCAGCAGCATCCCATGGGAGGGAGAAGGTAGGACTTTAAAACCAGCCCTGCTAAGTCTTTCCACCCTGATACTGCACAGGACAGCAGAGCTCATTTCCCATCCACAGTTTACCTGAAGCCAAGTCCTTCACTGGCAGTGGGGAACAGATGACCATATAGGTCCTTCCACCTTTCATGTTTTAATTCTGTAGTTCAGGCTGGCTTTCAAATACTACCAGGAATATAATTTCTGTGAGTTGTCTGCCTGTATCATAAATCTGTTCTGCTGCTACAGCACGATTAACAAGGTGTAAAGGCAATACACTGACCACTCCACAGATAATATAATTTCTGCCATTCTGTTGTCATAAGAGTCTAACTATGCACAGCAGAGTAGTTAGAGGGCAGCTAATTTATTGTTTTATTCTAAATCCACACTGACCTCTTAATACAGGAGTTACAAACGTGGAGATCAAACTTCCAGCATTAATGGATAAATAGAAGATGGAAAAAAACTTGCTTCTCTCTGAGGTCTAAAACAAGAGAAGACAACGTCAATGTCATGGCTAGTACACAGCATTGGGCTTGCAAATTGAACACTATCAATTCCCTTGTTAGGAAGGCTGGGTAAATATTGACATAAAGTGCATAAAATGTTAAGCAAACAAGCTCGTGTTCAGGTGATGGTAAATGCTTGCACAAATCAGCTCACGTTACTCGAGAAGTGCTTTGGGGCTTTTTGGCATTTCAGAGGAAAAGCCACTTCTTTGAGAGTGTTGTGAGACTGGAAGGAGGGGAAAGCATTTACTTATTCAGAATAAGTAGCATGATTCAGATCCTTTGTCACCAATTCAATCCAATTTGGCATGGTTTGACAAGCTCATAATTTCTTTCCACGTCTGAGCTCTTTTTTTCCCCCCCTCTTTTCCTGTGTTAAAATAGAAAAAAGAAACCTGTATATTTTAAGGAACTGGTAATCACAGCATAGATGAAAGAGTGCCAGCAATTGAGAAGTATCCATTAAAGAGGAGACCATGAAGGTGAGGCCAATCAACCTCAAACTAATAAGGTAAATTAAATCTAGGGGAGCAAATTCTAGACCCTGATGGAGCAATGAACTCTAAGAGAAAGAGTTTTCAATTTAACCTAAGCTGTAACATATTGTAGTTTATAGAGTCAAAGAATTCATGCTGATCTTCTTTCTTCCTTCATAATTCAAAATTTGGAAAGAATCAAGAATTTGATGCAGAGTTTGGTCTTTTGTGCAGAAGTAATGTGTGCATGCAGTCTCTCCTTGCTTGTGGAAGGGACATATAGTCACACGTGTGCTGTATATAGTGTTAACCTCCTCCCTGTGCCTGGGTGGGCCAGCAGAGAGGGGAAACAAAAGCAGGCTACCTGACCCACCCTGTGCTCATGTGTATTAGCAGCTCTGGGACACCTCAGCTGATAAAGGTAGCAGGAAAATTGCATCAGACATTGCATGGTGCCCGACAGAGTGCTTCTCGGGGCACCTTGAGCCTCATCTCTATGACCTGAGCATCATTTGAATGCAAAGCTTTAACTTAGCCGAATGCTAGAAAATTCCTCAGGGACTGTGGTTCTGTCTCTTTTCCTTCTAATGTGTCCTGCTTCCATCTGCTCCCTGAGACAACAATATTCACAAGGCTAGAAAACTGGAGAAAGCGTGAAGAATTGCAGGCAGCTAAAAGAGGACAGCTGTAAAGTAATGAATCCTGAGCTCCAAAAATGTAACAAAACTTCCTGTAACTGATGGTGCGGCCAACAGGAAATATTGCTACTTCATATGGCAAGAAGCCTCTTATCACAGGGGATTACTGCAGGGAAGAAAGGGAGGTGGGAGACTATGAGAGAGCTTCTCTTTATGCCACCTTGTAAAGTGGGTACTGAGAAGGTCAGGGTGAGAGCCCCATCACCTCCCACTGCCACGCACCAAGGAGTCTGGGGGTCTCCTTACTTGGATTAAGTATTTCTGCCTTGACCTAGCACAGTTAGGAAGACCCCACCAACTAAGGTTTTGGCTTTTACACAATTTTATTTCCTAGAGTGTTCAAGGCTGACCCATACATTCCTCTTAAATTACATAGCCTAGACTAAAGAATTTGAAAGCCTTATAAAAATCATCTAAATGGCATGTTCTCATGGTTAACAGAAAACAGCAGTAGGTCTGACTACCTGTTATATTCCTTTCCTTGCTGGTGGTTTTGATAATCCAGAACTTTCTACTGCTAAACAAGTAAAATATATTTTCTTTTTCATTCTACCTTTGTGACTAGTTATTTGTCATCATAGAGAAAACTAGAGAAATTAGCAGCCTCAGCAATCTTCCCCATTCCTGGATAGCCCTCACATGACTTGTCAAGGGTGGTGCAGTAGAACCCTCACAGTCCTGCCCTTTTCTAGCCAAACTGTCATGGCATGTTTCTAACACTTCATATCTGAGCAAATCAGAATTTCTGAGAGCGGTCATAAACTCAAGCATGCAGCTTTTGACATGATAAAGTGTAGAGCAACAGTTACCAAAAAGAATGTGGTAATAAGAGAAGAGGATAGTGATGCATAAAGAATTTGGAGCATCTTATTTGACAAATTTTCAGATTTTAGTGATGGAAAGAACAATGCTCAGAGAAAAGCTGAAATAGCTACAAAAATAATGACCCAGCTGCTCCCAAATTATACTGATTGGAATAAAGAATTTCTTTCCTATTGTCTTAATCTTTAGAGCAGACATACATTAGCAACGTGATTTGGATTAGCTAATTTGAGAAAAGGTACTGTACATGATAATCCTGATCTCCTTGGCAACCAGAAAATAAAGAAACAAAGGAAAGCTATTTAGCACCAAAAACACCATACTGCACTGTTTGAAAGCAGCTTTGGTCCCTAATTAATATGTGCAGCAGCTTCCCATTCATATAACGTATTTTAAATATAATTTTGTTCAGGCATTTTTAACTTGGACTTCTAATCCCATAGACAAAGTCATTTGGAAATCTCCTGCAGATAAAGCTGTTTTCCTTCTTTGACCTCCCACCAAATCAGTCCCCATCACTGTCTGTGGTAGTACCATTCTCAAAGTTGCAGATCCAGGACTATTATGCTCCTGAAGTACTTAAAAGAGAATCAGATTGATGTTGTGCATTTACCTCAAAACATAAACTTGTCTCTAGGAATAGCAGGGGTAATTTAGTTATTTATACACAGAACTACTTCATCCCAAGTTTTCAGACAAAACAAATGAGCCTGTGCACTTAAGGACTCAGATGAAGTTTATTGTGCCCTGAAAATTAAGGGGAATCAAATGCTTCATTTCATAGTGAATTTTTAAAACTTATTTCAGCCTACCTGGAGTAGAAGAAAATAAAACATGAATATAAACACCCCTCAAACACCACTCCAGAGGAAAGAAATATTCTGGTTGGCCTCAAACCTTTCATTCCTTACAAAATCAAAACTTCTCATTCCAATTCTGATAATTTAAACTTCCTATCACATAGCATAAAACATTTGTTTCTTCTGAAAGGCCAAGTTATTTCAAAATTGTAAAATAGAAAACTTTCTATTTTGAAAAGTACATTTGAAAAAGAACGAATAGAGCAGAACACATTGTTCTTATCAAAATGCTTTTTACAGTTTTCTTTCTCTAAATTAGTTTTTCTTGAAGGTAGCACACAGGTGAATGTTTGAGCTTTTGTATTTGATAAATTTTTGGAGAGCTGTAGTCTGAATGCTGGAGAATGGGTATAGGCCCACACAACCACAGGCAGTTCAGGTTTTCTCTCTGCAGTTGTAAAGTTGGAATAATAATATATATGTGCCTGAGAAGGGTGCTGAGATTCATTAGCTGAAGTCTATAAAACACTCTGAAGATAAGTGTTACATATTATCATACTGTAATTAGGTGGTAATTGAAAGATGCTGGATAAACACTATTAATCATTAGTATTCATAGAAGTAGCACTTGTGTAAATGCTGCTGTTGGACCTCTTATAATTCTTTTGGGACAACTGTTGGTGCAGCAAGCCAGGACACACATGCACTGGGATGCATGCAGCTATCCTAGAGCATGTGTGCTGATCTGCCAGCCTGCTTTTGGTTAGAGCTGTGCCAGCTGGGGAGGCTGGTGACCACTGGTGACCATTGCTGATCTCCTTTCTGACACATCCCCTAAAGCACCAGGTGCAACTGACAGCATGTAGACATGCCAGCAGGAGTATCTGCTTTGGACAAGTGACCACAGAGTGTCCCGTGTTTTGTTACTTCTTAGCTTCATCATAAGCTTCATCACTTCAGCATCACTCATGTGTAGTTTGTGTGCAGAAAGCACAGCTCTTACCAAAATTTTAAATTTAGCCTATATTATTTCATTACCTGTTGACTTCATACTGGGGTATTGCAAAAGACAAGGAGAAAACTGCCCTACTGGGCTCCTTGTCCAAGGGGACAACTCTTATCCAAATTTTCCAGTGCTTTTCCTGACACACTACTAGTCTAATGTCCTTCTTTAATGCCTCCATTCATGGGAATTTCCACCTCCCAAAAGCCTTATTATTTCCCAGTATTTCTCTAGATCTATTTATGGAAAAAATTTTCACACTGTTAGTCCTAAATAATCCTCCTTGATTTTAAGCCTACTCACCACAGACCCCAACAGGTATTTTCTTTTTTGTAGCAGTGGCTTTCTACATATTTGAGGACTTACACCCTGCACACAACTTGGTGACTTGAATGCTTGTCATTGAGAAAATAGAAATTTTTATTTGTGTGTTAGGTCAACATAAATCTATTTAACTTCAAGTCAATTTAAAAATTTAGCATTTTGACTGAGGATTAGCACTTCCTGACCTGCTTTGCTTCCTTAAGCACTATCTTATCCCTGGTTTAGCCCCTGTTCTGAATAATGGGAATTTGAGATTAGTGCAGATGAGGGGCTAAGCACTCATGACAGAGAATGAGGACACAGAGCACCTGGACTACAATTCTCAGGATACACAGCACAAACACAGCTAAACAGAAGCATTTTCTCAAGTCTTCAGAACTTTCCATTCTGGAATAGCCAGAAAGCATTCTGACATTACTTGCAAAAGACTAGAATTTCCTACAGTTCTTTCTGAACAACATCTGAGACATGGACTATGACTGATTTGAGTAAAAAGTCCCACAGAAGCATAGGCTGGTGATACAGTCTTTTCTTTCATTTTCCATAGTCCATTGCAGCACATTATAATCACTCCTATTGAGGTGATCCATTATATATCCAGTTCCATGATATGCAAGACAGGATTTTTCAACTACTCGGATGTCCAATTAACATTTAGATGATTTGATGCAATTATGACCTATCCTTTCCAGTATCAATCCTGTTCTCCTGACATTTTGCCTTCCTGAAGCATCAAGATTCTCTCGAGTTTTATGCAAACCACCCTACCTCATGTCTTTTCCAGCAAACTGGACCTAATTCTAGCACAACAGGATTTTGATCACATAAACATCCTCACAAAGTAAGCAGACACTGCAGATTTTAGGAAAGAAAAGAAGTCTTACATGTTCCTCTTCAAACTGGTCCCCACCAAATGCAGAGACACAGGGCTTGATACCTCCCGTTCCAAGGGCGATCAAAAACAGACCAACCATAGACAGGACCCTTCATGCAAGAACAAAAATATCACCATTGCAAAACCTTTCCAGAGCTTATGAGAGCATTTTAGTGTCACCCAGCCACGATTCCCTTGATAATGTTGTCTTTTGCACACAGGTAATGATGATGAGCTAGATAAACAAATTAAATATCCTAATAATTTGAAAAAAAAAATTAATTATCCTAATTTCTGCATTCTGTACCAGTCAATTAACCAAACTGGTTTTGTCAGTTTCTTGTTATTCTGAGGTCCAATGGACATATAGGAGATCAAAGATCTGTGGAATTATTTTTACTTATATGACAACAAAAGCTGTCAGAGATCAATTGAGAAAAAGAAAAACAAGAAAAAGGGGAGTACTTTTTTGCAGCCTTGTAGCCTGGGTAAGAGCAGACAAACTGTTCAAAATTAGGCTCATTCTTGTGTGTTTTCTAATACCCAGTGGTTTTCAAAATGCCATTGCTGGCCTGATAGATTATGTTTCTAGGGAACAAGAGTATCAGGACTGACCAGGTCTGGGACAAAAGAAAACTGTTGTGTAAACAACATGTGCTCCTGCCTGCATGTGCATATTTTTTGAGCCATGACTACATAGACAAAACCAGCTTGGTGGTTTCAGAGACACTACTCCGACTGCCTATCAATTTAGAATTTAGAGGGTTGTATCCTGTGGAAGAGACAGACCCTGTCATCAGAAAATGCATTTCAGTTCTGTGTTCCCATGCATATGGGAGAACCTTGCTGAGCTGGGCAGCTGTGCTGATGAAATCAGGGAGGAAGGAGCCTGGTGCAGGCAGTTGGATACAGGAGACCAAACCAGTAGCATGGTATAGCAGTGAGGGGTGATCCCCAGTGCCTGTGCCAAAGGGGTTAGAGTCTGTGTGGTCATTTCCAACTCCATCTGGCATGTTCACACACTAGATCCACCCTTTTGCTCTTACTCAGACATTTCTAACCCTTCCCTGATGAACGTAATCCATGCACAGCCCCCAAAATGCTGGTATGATGGCAATAAAACAAAGTACAGACTTGGGTAAACTAACTACCATCACAACCTGCTACAGTACTGTGGCTTTAAGGGCTACTTACACATGAACTGCCTGGTTGCCCAGGGATGGAATGGCACCGACTGACTTTATCAGATGGCCAACAACATACACAATGGAGAGGTAGATGATCGTCCTGTGAGGAAAGCAAACAGCAAGTGACTGAAGGCGCTGGTGATGTACAATCTGAAAACAGTGTGTCCATGGGCCCTGATATGGCAGCTCTACTTGGCTGACACACAAGGAACTGGTTTGTTCTACCAGTGGTACAATGGGCAGCTGTAACTCCTTTGTGTCAACACTGAGTGCACTAGAAGGAATAGATATGCAAATGGTTCAGATTAAGGAGGAATAACCCCTGCTTTATTTGTAGACATTACTGAGCAGAATAAATGAAAACTGTTCCAGCCTTGTCACACATGGAAGACTGCAAAGAGAAGAGCACTGTTCAGGCCCAACTCAAGTTTCCAGATTACTAATAACTGGCATTTTGTAGGATGTGCATAAGTGAATCCCTTGACTGGAAGGGATGCCTAGAGACTGTTGTCCACATTCAACCCACCTAACCAACAAACCTGTGTTAGGAGTGTGGTTTCCTCATTGTAAGTCTGTTTTGGGTCCCAAGTATCTCTGAAAGACTGAGCTCATCTATCTGCCTCCCATGTGTTGGTGAGGGGGAAGAAGAAATATGAGCAGGATGATCAGACTCTTGAGTGCATTCTATTCCTTCCACCTTCTAGATTAAAAGAAATCTATGTATTCTTGTGCTGAAGACAAATACAGAGGTGAACCAAAGGACTTGTAAGGACAGAAACACTAGAAGAATTCCTGAGTTTTGAGCATGGAAGAGGTCCCTGATGCATTCAAACCCTGGTTGCAACAGCTAATTTAGCATCACATCAGATCATTCCTAAAAGCCCCTCTAATCTGTTATATTGGCCAAGGTCCAGCTACTACAGCAAAAGCCACTTCCCATTAAATCATAGGGATTACTCCAAGAAGTTTCTTGCCTAACACATGATCATCTGTATAAGGATTTACCTTCTCACAACATCATGCTGCAAGATAAACATCCTCAAAACTAATGAACATTGCTAGGTGACCTAAAATAATGAGTTTAATAAAGCCCCACTGTTATTTTTTTCCACTGAAAGGGACAAGACAATGACTAAAACCGACCTCAGAGAAAAAAGTACACTGATAGCTCCTTAAGAAATTTCTTCTGGCTAGGCATATGGCAGCTGTTTATTTCCTATTGAGACTCTTCTGCCAGATAGGCTTAGCCCTAGAGAGAGAAGTTCAGCTGCACTTCATCACCCTGGCAGCCAAGACTCCTCAAACAATGAAAAAACAGTGTAAAGCAAATAAAGTCCTGTATCCAGCTGCTCATCACCACTCTGGGGTAGATGTTGGCTCCACAACTTATCAGAAGGGAAGACTGCCTAAGGACTCTTACTCAGGAAGAGTCTACCTGGTTATGTGCTGATGGAGATGATTTGAGAGAACACAGGTTTCTCAGGCATAAAAGTGGGTGCGCTGATACATTACTTATGCTGTGAGAAGTGTAAGGAAGTACAATACAGTTAGTGACATTTCACCTGAATCTGAGATCTACGTGATGACATTGCTTCCTCACTTGAATCATCTTCGTCACTTCCTCATCTTTGAATCCTTCTCAGAAGCAGACCTTAGCAAACTGAGGGTTAATTGCCCTACACCTCAGATTCCTGAAGTCAGGTAGGGAAGGACAGTGGAGGAAAAAGGTTATTGTAACATTTAATTTGTCCCAACTTGGTTGCCTATTGGCCTTTGGGTGTTAGACAAGCACAGAACAGCATGAGCAAACAGATCAGCTCTGTTAAAAGAGAGGAGCTGACCTTCATGAGTGTGTCTTTGCTGCACACTGAGCTCAAAACTGGGAGCAAGCACAGCACTGTCCTTGCACAGGCTGCATGGTGTTGATGCATGCTGACTGAATTGGAGATCTTCACTTACTTGTATTTCCCCAGCCACGAGTCTGCCATGATGGCTCCAATGACAGGTGTGAAATAACACAGCGCAGAAAAGGCATGGTACACAGCAGTGGAGAGATTCTCATCCCAGTGGAAGAAGCTTAAGAAATACAGTGTCAGGACAGCTAAAAGGAAACAAAAAAAGAATAATATCAGATAATTAATGTGTATATCTGCAGGTAAGAAGGATCATGGTGGCAAGAAAACTACTGATTTGTCTAGCAACTGAGCAGTGTGGTGGAAAGATCTGTGCTTCCAGACCTGTTCCTCATAATCTCTGACACAGGAGAAGCTAAAATGAGATATATGAGTATCTGACATCCTTTGCTCATAAACATTTATGTTTAGCTGAAAAATGTATTTTCTAGCTTATCTTACCCTAACCTGTAGTTCTGTTTATGCACTTTTTCTTTTTGCAGATTAGGTGCCTGTAAGATTCAATTCCCAAGCACACTGATTGCACATCAACTATGAAAGACATCACACAGTAGAAAACCAGATTTGATATAGAAAATTGTATAATAATTTAGACTGGAAGGTACATTTGGAGCCCTCTAGTCCCAACTTCTTCTCATCTTAGATATAGCAGCAATGTTAGGCTACACTGTCCATATGTGCATTCCAAAATATCAATTAACTTTGAAATATAGCTGATACTACACACAGCACCGCTCAGAAACACCAATGCAGTTTGTGTAAAGACCTCAGGACAGGAAAGTCACAGGCCACATACCTCGCATGCCATAGTAGGAGAAGCGCTCACAGAACTCGTTTACCACAATGAAGGCAATGCTCAGGGGGTAGTTGGAGCCACACAGTTTCTGTGGAAGACAAACAAGAATGTATCAACTGTCAAAGCCTTCATCCCAGCAACATATTCTCGCAGTGTCTGGGTGGTGGAGAGGAGTCCAGTCCAAAAATCAAGTGCCCACAGCTGCTTGACTGGCCTGTGAGCTGGACTCAAAAAAGAGAGTGGACCCTACAGTAGTCTTGCATTGATTAAGGCTCCCCGGTGAATCAGCCTGGCTGACATGAGCCCAGTAAGGACTGCCATGGGGATTCGTGGGCAATCAGCAGCCCACCATGCTTGTAGCTCCACTGGAAGGGGGCTACCAACTCTTGATCACAATGTTAAAACATCACTTATACCAAAAGAACACTTTTGGATGCCTTTTCTTCTGTACTTCATATAAAGCTACCACCCTGCCCCAAAACTGCTCCCTCTTCTAGTACCAGACCTTGCCTCAGAAACTGGGAGACCCCAGGGATCTGCTGTCTGCTTCTGTGTATAAAGCTGCTACCTCTCTCAATCTCTGCTCCTCACTTGTGCTGAGCTGTGCCACCACTCACTGAAGCAGAGCATCAGCTCTCTGTCTGGCACTCCCTAAGGCATGGCATCCATTTCATATTCCAAGATTGCTGGCACAGCTATGGTTAATTCAATTTATTAATCAGAATTTTTGAATAAAGCCAGTGATGGGACTGTCAAGCCTGTCTAAGTGTGGCCACTCTTTCTCTGAGCCTGGCTTTACTGCAGCTAACATCAGCACTTCCCAAGTGAAATACAAGGCATTAAACAGATGAGTCTTGGCATGACCCTGTGGGGGCCTCTGTCCCTCTTGCTACCCCACCGTGGTCTGAGCTAAGCAGCTTTCAAATTCCAGCTGCTTAGTGGCTCCACTGCCTCACAACAGGAAAGCAGGTTTGCACAGCACTGCCCAGCCTCTGCCAATTAGCAGGAGAGGGGCTGGCCATGGATTTGGTGAGGAATCTGGAGGAAGTGTGATATTAACAGATACAACTATACTTATAGATTTAAATAGCCATGGTATGGGCCAGTGAGATGAACTCTTCATATGCATTTCTGTGCTTCATGTCAGAAATAATGAATTCCTGTATTTCTTCCCAGAGTCCCAAATGCAAATACAGTACCAAAATAGATGTGTTTATTCAGGTTTATTTTACCACCAAGAGACCTAAGCTTATTTGGATTCCCAAAGCAATGGCATCAAGTTTAGAAAAGTATAGCTTAATGACACTGTCTTCCTCAACATTATGAAAGAGTAAAAACAACAAACAGAAAATCAAAACTCCACAACTCCCACCTCCCCTCTACTTTCCATTACTTAATCCTCTAAAGACAAATATTTTTGTCCATTTTTATATATAACATATATCTATATATTTTTCTTATCAAAGGGTTGCCTTTTTATAAGAAACCCTTAATCTTTTTGCTTTACTAGAGTAAATAGATAATTATCCATTTCATTTATGATTTACTCTGAAACCATTGTGCTCAGCAATATGGCTTGTAAGAGTTTGCTCCCTTGGAAACTGCACTGGGGCCTCCTGCTTTTAGAATAGCCTAAAAATTGTGGCATATATAAGCTGTAAATGCACAAACACACAACCATATGCACACACAGAATATTTTTCTCCAAAAAGTTTTTCATAATGGAAGAAAATCCATAAGAGGCAGATTATGTTCCATGTTTGTGCTGGGAGGCATTTTATGAAATTGGAAGTAAAATTGTACAACAGGGATTTTTTTCTCCCTCTTCTTCCCAGACCTTACTATACATACTCATGGCATTTAATAAGGTGCACAGAGTGACTGTCCAAACCAGGTGGACAGGTGGCAGGAGCGCTGCTGCCTGAACTCGCCCCTCCACACCCAGTGCACAAGTTCCAGTGGATTTATTTGCATGAGTTTAAGGTGCAGTGACTCATTTCAGCCATTCCTGCTCTGGAATGGGCACCTCCTACAGATGAGCAGGGGCAAGGAGGGAAAGGAGAGCAGGGGGCAGTGACTTCTCAGCTAAACCTCCCCAAGTGCCTGAGCCACAACCCTGAGTAAGTGCTTACAAACACAGAGCAAGGACTTACAAGCAGGGGTACTTCCATCTGGCTTGTGTGTTATGAGATGGCATCAGCATGTGCAGAAACCCTCATGTATTCTCTCCACAGTATCACTGACCTGCCTGTGGCCTGCCTGGACATCCAAAAGTGGGAAGCTTTCATCCATGCGGACAGCCAGATGCAGTTTGCTCACTTTTGTGGAGGAGGACCGTGCTCAGCAGACAGCCCCAGCAAAAGCAAAGAGGTTAAGCCTGGATTCATGAACACACAGATAGTCTGCAGTGCTTAGCTACCACAGCAAACCTGGGATCTGCGGGATTATGGATCTCTTAAAGATACTGTGGAAGTTGATAGACTGTGCCTTTTAAAAAAAGAAAGTTCATTTAAAGTACCCACTACAGGAGACGTTTGTTTTCAGCTCTCCTTCTTGCTAACTAATGACAAAACAGGATAAAGACTAATATTTCCCAGGAGCTCTGGATATCCAATAGTTAATGTCTGCACAGTAATTAAAATTGAGTTAAATAATTGGTTTGCTAATGGCATGACTGTGAGTTTTAAGACCAAGTATTACATATTATCCTGCAAGTCAAAGCAGCTACAACATAAGCCAAATTCTTCCTGAATCCTATGCAGTGAACAGTTTTTAGGGCTCAAGCACTCAAAAAGAATTAGCCTGAAAACCAGCACAAACACCAAAGCTGCACGGCAGCAACACATTCACCTGAATAAGGCTATAAATCAGAGGCAAAGATGGCTCTGGCACCAGAATTGGGCTCTGCTACACTCACCAGTGGCCTGTCCTCAATCCCTGTCCTTCCTTCTGCTTTTCATCATCTGGGTACCCTTCCCTGGTGGGTTTCATCAAACTAAAGAGAGTTCAGCTCCCTCCCTCCTATGCACAACAGCTCCATCCACTTCAGTGATCTAAGTTTTTTCCCACAAGGAAAGTAGTGTTCAGAAAAAGGCAATAAATCCCTTACCCTTTTCCCCAAACATTCAGTTAGTTTGTGTTCTCCCTTTAAGCTGCACTTTCTTAACTTAATCAGGTTAGTGGAAGGATTTTTGCCTTGAGTTGTTAAGGCTTATTTCAACCCTCTGCAAGAAAGGGTGTTTGTCTCTAGCCAGAGCACAACAGAGGAGAGAACACAGAGATCTTGCAATGTTTAAAACAAGCTGAGCAGAAAGCAAAGCAAAGCAAACCAGCAGTAACACTTACCGGAGATTTTTTCTGAAGAGGGAAATCTCCTTTGGAGGGATCATCTCCTGCAGAAATAAAAGTGAACAAAGTTTCCTTGGATTCGTTTCTCTGAAAAGCGTTCATCTCCCCTGTCGCCTTGTCTCCCACCATGCTATGTGGCTGTGGTGAGTTGACTGGGAAGATTTCCAACCTCAGGCACGAAGTTTGATTCAGTTTGAGTTAACCCTAATTGAGCACATTTGTGCAGCCAGGGCAGAAAGGGGAGGGAGATGCTCCCAGGAAAGATAATTCCAGAGTTCAAGAGGAATCAGGGAACACAGCCTAAATCAGTCACAGGTTGAGGCTGTCAGCACTTTGTGGCACAGACCTCCCTGTTGTTTGGCATATCCCCAGCTATTTTACGTGCACCAGCCCAGCATGGTGCTGGATGCTGCACAGATGTGAGCTGAATAAATATCCCAGGTCCCAGATACACCTATAGCCTGTGGATTTAGAGCAGAGCATGCATCTCCCTCCCAGTGTGGTAATGAGAGGTTTACTCTGCAGGGATCTCATTTCACTGGAAAGCCACAAATTCCAAGATATAACTACTAAAATGTGCTTCACACCAAACCCTTGGACGCTGGACGTCACAGATGCCTGCACTGTGATAAATCATTTCTTTGCTACTACAGGAGTGAAGTGACCCAGAGTTCATTCCCACACCAATTCCCTAGAATGACCTTGCCTTTTCCCATGGGACAGTTTAATCAAATGTGCACAGCCAGCACCCAGAAGTAGCCCCAACACCTCTCTCTCCTTTCCATTTTCCAGAAGACCACTTTGGGGCTCCACATGTGACAACTGCAGCCCATCTCTGCTGGGAGTCCCTAGATTCCCCCTGCAGCTACATGGGCTCAGCTCCCTGCAGGTACACTGTGGTCCCTCCTTCCATGCCCTTCCCATGGCAATAGTGGAGCTTTTCATTTGCGTTCTTCCAGTGCCAGTTGCAATTGCAGAGCAAAACTCACAACCTTCCCATAAACTATCCTCAGTGCTTGTGGCTCTGCTGTATCCTCAGTGCAGTGGAGAGGTTTTTTCTTCCTCTTACACTTGACTTCTTCAAGAGGCAAATGTTCAAAGAATTTTCTGAAATATTTTTCCCTTCTTTTATCAGTAATGCACAGACCACACCCAGAATCCACAGCTGGTACAAGGAGTCTGCATAAACTCATCCTTAGTGCAAGTACCGAGTTGCTGATAGTGCTTGGTTATCACAAGAACCAGGTTTGCAGCTGATGAACCAGGAAAGAGGCCTTTGGCCACACCACAGATCCTTCATCTGGCTTCAGTTATTGCTAACAAGACATGGAGAACACTTACAAAGGGAATCAGATGTGGTGGACTGCACAGAGGAAGTATAATTACTATCCATCATGTACTCTGGCATTACTTCCTCTGAAAATCCCCAGAGATCCCATTTCACTCCTACTAACTGGGCAGCTAAACATGGGGTCAGCTGACTTGAAGGCCAAACTTCAGATGGTGCCAGAAAGTTCTACCCCTTCTTTGTTCCTTTTTTCCTCTACAGCAGTGGCAAAACAAGAGTTTGATACCTCATCTGGTAGTGCCACAAGCCAGCTCCTTGTCTTCAGCCCTCTCAGTGACCTGCAAACATGCACAGCCTTGCTTTTCACCTGGGTGCAGCCTCCAGGGAGCTCAGGTTTATCGAGCCCTTTTCACGGGCATGAGTGCTCAAAAGCAGACCCAGAGTTGGGGGCAGAACAGGTCTTGTTCATATGGCTCCTGCCCCTAACACCAGGTTAGCACCTACTCCAGTCCTGCAAGTCTTCACCCCCTGCTAGAGGCAGCAGAAATATTTCCAAGCCCTCTGCTGGCATCTCATGCCCCAGGTATTTCTATACGGCTCCCAGTAGAAATCTGCTGTATTCTGCCATACACAGGCAAGCAGAGCAAACACAGCAGCAGAGTTACTAAAGGAATAATAAAAAAGGAAGACAGGAAAGGTTTCACCATCCCTTGCACATGCTCCCATGCTGCTGCAGTGTAATGCCTTAATATTATCAGCCTCCTGCAGCTATATTTCCTCTGTGTATATACACCCTGTGTGTCACATAAGCTAAATGATTATTTTTTTTTAAATACTAGCACGAAAAACCCTATCAGTCAGTAGGATTAACATACTACTTGTCTAATGCACTGCAGAGCTCTTTAGGCCGCTAGCTGCCAGAAGGTCTTCTCAGACAGAAAGGAAGAAAAGGAATTCAAATGTCTGGCAATAAATGGTAACTTGTAGAAAACAGCAAAAACAAGTTTAAGAGAATAAATTTGCAAGCACAAATTTAGATACAGATACAGAATGATACTTGATAGAAGGAGACCTGTGTGACTGGACTGAAAATCAGGAAGGAATTGTACTACAAATGGAAATAAGGTGGCATTTCTGAAGACAGGTATAGACAAACAGATCAAACATGGAGAGGCAGAAGTGTGCCTGCAAAGCTAAGGCACAAAATGAACTACAGCTAGGAAGGGGACATAAAAGGCAATAAAAAAAGGTGTTAGAAATGCTGTCAGTATTGGAGAAAGAGGAAGGAAAATGAAAAGCTGTTATTTAAACCAGAAAACAATCATCCAGAGAAGCCAGGAAACTTGTGTCCTTTTTGTTATCTTTACCAAAAAATAAATTGCAACAAAGGTATGCAACACCTTTGAAATGAACCAGCAGGAGTATGTGTGAAATGAGACAAAAACTGCTTAAATAATATTTGGATATCTCAAATGTGCTCAGATCACCAGACCCTGATGAAATTCACCTTCAAGTGCTGAATACCATATTGAGCCACTTCCCTTGTGAAGGGCAAAAGCAGAACAAGCATCATCACTGCCTTTAAAAAAGCAGATTGTTCCTCCAGGAGTGTCCCTCCATAACAAGAGAGATACTTGATCAGATAATCCCTTCTAAGCACCAAAAGGAGAATATGGATTACAAAACAGCCATTTCAGATTGGAAAATATGCTCTCAAACCAGACTGTTTTATTCTTTGGTAAGTGGAGTAACAGCTAGATCAGCTCTGTATGTGATATAGCCTAACTCCAGTGCCTCTGATCTCTCACAAGGAAATAGGGTCCATATGAAATGCTCATAATAGTGGACAACTGGGAAATCTCTGTAAGAGTATCAATGATTTTCCATCACATTAGGAAAGCATGAAACATGCAGGTCCTTAGCTTTTCCATTATCAAAGAAAACTTCAGTACAGTCAGCATGGTGCTCATTTGTACTCGAAACTAGGGTGAAGAAGCCTGGGAGACAACTGGGTATGAACTCAAAATGGTGTTGCAAAATGGGAGAAACTATTTTATTACTCTGGAATGAAAACTATGAGAATTGGGAAAGAAGAATACCAAATGGCACTCCTTTCCATTGACAGGAAAAACAGCCAGAGAGATGAACTATAATCCATTTTTGTTGAGGATAAGATGAGAGAAATCACTGACTTTTTTCAGCAAAGACTATTTGGGGCTCCTTTTTCCAATTTCCCTGTCAGTGAGGACAGATGACCATTGGAATAGAGATGGTGTGGCTCGGCCTGCAGGGTTCAGACAACCCATGATGTCTGTTACATAAGAATGCGTTAGGGACTACATAAATATCAGGTCCTGTCCCAGAGCAGGCATATAGATGAGGTGCCCTCCTGAGTTTCTGTGAAAATCTTGTGCCAAACAACTTCACCTGGTAAGCATGAAAGCAAGGATTGCTTTCTCCTCTTTTCTGAATTATCCCTTATGCAGCTGGGGAGTCTGTAGGATGATTCATGCATGCATGTTACATTCAGCTACCAGATGCCTTGCATAGCCAGAAGTTTCCATTAATACATTTTTCTATGACTTTCAGTTAATAATTTAATTTTTTTCTGGTTCCCAAATCCTCAGAAAGAGAATCTGCATTTTCACGTTGCTTTTACAATCTTCACATTCTCACCACTCCCTGCTGCAATACTGTCCACATTAATCTGTTTATACTCAACTGATCTCTTCATTTTTACCTCCATTCATCTCTTGGTACAACCCCTTCCTAATTTTCAGCTCAGCCATACTTGTATAATGAGTCTTATTTTTAATTAATATCCACCTGCCATACTTTTATAGCCCTTTTACCACATATGTATTTCTCTCCTCTTTCTCTGTTTCCAAGATAAGGTTTTAAGAAACTAGATTAATGTGTGGCAGCAACACTTTGGGCTTAATGACCAGACCCTGAAAGGACATGATAACCTCTGGAGGTCTCTTCTGGCTTATTTTCTCCAATTCTTTGATCACAAGAAAGATCAGGGTTTAACTGATTTATACATATCAAGAGTGGTTTCCATTGCCTGTAGACTTCTTCCAAACTTCAAAGTAATTTAAGAAAATTATGTATCAAATAATTTGAACAACCAGGAAAACATGCCAGAAGCCTTAAAACCCACATCTCTCCTCTATTCCCCAGCCATTACAGACTTAAAACTGTAAAGGTATTTAGATCAATACCACTAACAATATCAAGTACCTAATTTGCATTTAAGAGCCTGTCATCTGGTCACAAGTCAACCTGTAACAATCAGAGAAACTTCTCATCCCTCCTCGTGCCTTTTTGCCTTCAGTTTCTCCTACTATCAGCAAGAAGAAATCTTTAAAAACTTCCTCACCAGCTTGGGGTTCCTTTGCAGGCTGTGGTGTGCAGTCCCTCTCTGCCATTCCGTGATTTGGATGTCCCCAGCTTCTGTTGTGCCTGAAGATGAACCTCATTATGCAATCCCAGCTCTCTTTCACCCTGCTGTTAATGTTTCACTTCTCAACAGCAGTCCTTTGGCCACCACTAAAATAGTTAAACTTCCATTTATTTCTGATCTGAAGTCATCTCTGCTCAGCTCTCAAATGTCATAGGGAATCTGCCTTTCTTGAATACAGCCTCTGAGGCTGCATGGCACCTTTCATGGATGTTCACGATCAATCATTTCACACTACAGCTACACTAACTTTCAATAAAATTACTACTTCTGGTTGAGGATAAGGACTGGCTCTGTGACTAGACAGGATCTACAGCTGGCCATAATGCACTAGTGAAACACTGAGAGACACCTGAATTTAACAGTGAAAAGAAGCATACAACAATATCTACAATGTGCAATAGTGAGAAGCCTAAGCTGATCACAATCAAACTCCAAAATTACATGAGGAATAAATTCCTACATATGATGATTCATTTGATAGATCAACAAGGAATGCAAAGCCTGAAGTAAAAGATGAAGAACAGCATGAACAATTCATAAAAAGATGATGGCAAATTGTGAGGGGCTTGCGAAAGGAGGATTGAAGCAAAACTTTAA